TCAGTATTACTTCGTTCAGTTACATTGCTGAAGTTTGGTGCCCTCTGGCTGCGGGCAGAAGCCAAACACTTTGCATGGTAAATCATGACTCTTTGAATAAAGAAGACTAAGGAAGGAGCATATCAAAAATCTTAGGTACACCGCGATGGGTCTCAAATATGGCTGACTTAAATTCCAGTTTATCAGTGTCGTTCTAATTTTATTTAAAAAATGTAAAAACTGCTATGATGTAGGGTAGACGTGGAGTAGACTCAATAATTTGTTGTTTTATTTTACGTTGTGAATAAATGTTGGTAGTTATTAAAATTGTTATAAAAATATATAATTCTAATAAAATAGATAAGTTATAATAAGTATTAGTAACACAACGATACGCTACTGAAGCAGGTAAAGTCAAATTAACATTATCCTAAATTCTTGACATCTAATCTTTGACAAGTAATAAATAAAAGCTAAAATGCAAAAGAAAAATATATAATTTAAGTTAATTTAAGTGAGATTTCATAAATGATCGGTTTACTACACGTATGGCATATTATATAGTCACTTACTAGCGAAAAATTGTTACATTATTTCCTCAATTTTTGCCGAGATTCACCACACGCTACACAACCAACTATTTTAGAGTCTTTTTTCGATAAATCGCGATAATAGTGTCACTGTTAATTTAAGTTCTGCCACAATTTCCATCTAGATTTACTACCTTTATACAACTATCGGTAGTAGAACTAAATAACATAAAATAAGCTCCGTAAAGGCTGACAAATCCACAAAATTGCAAAATCAAATTCAAATGTGTCAAATGAATCGTCAACAGAACTGTCAAGAATCCCCACCCTAGAGAGCTTTTATGGTGGCTTTTCCGCCCACCATGCATGTATACATGGATAACATTATGCTCCTTCCTTAGTCTTCTTATTCAAAGTCATGACTGAATCAATAAATAATAATTAATAATAATCTGTTTGACAATTTGAAGTTGGCGCGCAGAGCATGACTAATGAATGGTGCCATTTATCACCTGTGACGTAGTGACCAACCTGCGCAATATCATACCTCAAAATTAGTAAGTTTTATGTCCACAGAATATTGAAATACCTTGTATATGCATAAACAAAAATTATTAAAGAACATTATTAAAATATATAAAAGTTGTTAAAATATTAAAATTTGGTAATTATTGGGAAAACTGGAAATCGTCCGATTTTCACCAAAATTGGTATACACACTATTTTAAGGTCGTAGATTACGAATCTGAATTTTTTTCTTGGCAGTCTCTTAATTATTTCAACATTGAATTTTTCTTTATTTCGGCCCTATAAAGTAATAATTTCACTATATTTTCATTATAATATAGTTTATCTAAAAGCCACACTTGATTGGGGATAGAAAAATGTCCAAAATTTTACTGAAAAACACTTTTCTTAACAAAATAACAAAGAAAATTGAGACCAGATGGAAGTTTGACATTTGATATATCCTTCTTTCTCTCTCGTATGTAATGAGAGAGACAAATATATACTAGAACTAATCTAGAAATTTGAAAATTTACAACGTTGCCATATCTTCTATTTTTTCGGGTGATTAGGGATTTTAAATAAATCACCTATTATGAGATCGACAAAAATTAAATATACCTACCTATATCCACAAAGTTACGCGGAAGAGTTTTGATTTCATTGGTTTCAACTTCCAAGCGGAGGGTGTTAATCTTTTGTTGTTATATTATATCAAAAAAAGATTAACCTCCTCCGCAAAAAAGTTATATAAAGACTATTTATAACCACGGAGTTGCACGAAAGAGTTTTGATTGCATTGGTTTTAACTTCTTTGCGGAGGGTGTTAATCTTTTGTTGTTATATTATATCAAAAAAAGATTAACCTCCTCCGCAAAAAAGTTATATAAAGACTATTTATAACCACGGAGTTGCACGAAAGAGTTTTGATTGCATTGGTTTTAACTTCTTTGCGGAGGGGGTTAATCTTTTTTTGATATACTATAACAACAAAAAATTAAACACCCTCCGCATGGAAGTTGTAACCAATGCAATCAAAACTCTTTCGTGCAACTTCGTAGTTATAGTCAGATCTCGTTGGTAAAATAGCAATTATGGGAAGGAGCCGTTCTTCTTGCGACCGCCTTTCGTAATCCCAGAATGAGAGAAAAAAACACGCTAAATTTAGGTTTAGCATTGGCAACGTTGCTTTAAATGCCAGAAACACATAACCCAACATTTTCAGATTGTTTACAAATTTACTTTAGCAAATTTTCCTCTATTATGCATAGAATTGGTTAAAAAAGTAACAGAAAATAGCAATAACATCATTGTTTATCGAATACCTAACAAAATATGTGCTAGAAAACCTTAAAAATATGAGAAATTAAGAAAAATTCGACGTTTTTCTGAAAAACGGTAAGAGACCGCCAAGAAAAAAGCTCAGATTCGTAATCTACGACCTCAAAATAGGGTTATACCAATTTTGGTGAAAATCTGACGATTTCCAGTTTTCCCAATAATTACCTAAAATTTTGTTTAAAACTTATAATACTTACACCACAAAATGTCATAACATATGGTGTACCATTTTTCTTTGATTCTAAACAATCTCTCAATATATCAACTCTTCTATTGGGACTCAGTATTTGAACTAAAGAGTCTGTCAAAGTACTTTTAACAATCGTGGCAACTGAATCAAATGTGCCTGGAATATAATAATTTCTACTTAATTTTTGCAGCTCCACTCTCTTAAAATTATGTACTATAGGATGTTTATTGTTATTGGCATTTTTAGAGATGATGTTAGCATGGGCATTTACAAATTAAAGTAGTGTGAGAACCGGTACTCAACGATGTCGTTAAAAGCTGTAAAAAAAACAGAATCATGATCACGAAACAGTCAAATCAAAAACCAGAATCATGATCACGAAATAGTATTTCCTCTATTTCTATGTTTCTGGGGAGCTGAATTTCAATCTGAGATTTACCAACAAAATTTAGTAACAGAATGAAAAAAACTGCAAAAAATGTAAAGTCTGATTTTTTACATTTTTTTCGACTGTAATTCAAATACTACCAACTTTTTGTAAATAATATTTATTCAGAATTAAAGTGCATAAAACTTTCTACCTTTGAATAAGAAGATAAGGAAGGAGCATATCAAAAATCTTAGGTCCACCGCGATGGGCCTCAAATATGGCCGACTTAAATTCCGGTTTATCAGTGCCGTTCTAATTTTATTTAAAAAATGTAAAACTATGATGTAGGGTAGATGTGGAGTAGACTCAATAATATGTTGTTTTATTTGACGTTGTGAACAAATGTTGGTAGTTATTAAAATTGTTACAAAAATATATAATTCTAATAAAAATAGATAAGTTATAATAATTATTTATTAACACAAACATCCGATACGCTACTGAAGCAGGTAAATCTGGTAAATCAAATTGACGTATCTAAATTCTTTGACATCTAATCTTTGACAAGTAGTAAATAAAAGAAAAATGCAAGAAAAAATGTATAATTAGTTAATTTAAGTGAATTTCATAAACGATCGGTTTACTACACGTATTTATATTATATAGTCACTTACTAGCGAAAAGTTGTTCCATTATTTCACTCGATTTTTGCCGAGATCTACCGCACGCTACACAACCAACTATTTTAGAGTCTTTTTCGATAAATCGCGATAGTGTCACTGTTAATTTAAGTTCTGCCACAATTTCCATCTAGATTTACTACCTTTACTACCTACTATCAGTAGTAGAATAAACAATAAATAACATAAAATAAGCTCCGTAAAGACTGACAAATAAAATTTCAAATCAAATTCAAATGTGTCAAAGGAATTGTCAAACAGAACTGTCAAGGATCCTCACCCTAGAGTACTTTTTCCGCCCACCATGCATGAATACATGCATAGCATTATGCTCCTTCCTTAGTCTTCTTATTCAAAACTTTCTACAAAATTTTTGTTATACTGGGTGTTTCTCAAAAAGTGGCTCACCTCTATAACTTTTTATTTTTTCAGATAAAAAACGAAATTTGGTATTTTAGTACATGATATAAATCGGGTGTGATTGACGTATTCAATTACTTTCGGCCACTTCCTGTTTCACCGGAAATGACTACAACTTTTGATTTTTAGAGGGTACCCTGGATATTTTTTTACTGTATTTGCTATGAAAATGAAAATGGAAAGTAAAAAGTACCGAACTTTTGACATTTTCAGTAAAAAAAATGCATTTTAACTTGAATCTATCGTCATAGTTGTATGAAAACTATTTATTTTTGATCAAGGAGCTTTGGAAAAAATAAATTTGATCGTCTAATGTTCATCGTGTCTTTTCCTGGCCGGTTAAAAAATGCCCAACCCGTATTTTTAATCATAACTAAATTTTTTCAAAGGGAACCAGGGTGGCTCATTAGCATATTTGAAAAGAGCATTTTTTACGAATATTTTGGTACCAGATATACTTGTATTTAAAACTTCCCAATATGGCGGACTTCAGTATGGGAGGCTTAAAAAACGAAAATCTCTAAACTGGAATCGACTGTAGTTCAAATCGTTCAAATTGATAATCTGTGGTAAATCCAATTGAACTCTGACACTTGGCTGACATTGACGTTTACGTGGACGTTTACGGTTCCTTTTTCTAAATATTTTCATTATTTTTTGAGTTTTTATTCACAAATTCTACTTGATTTTGTTCTTTTATTTAACCTGCAGCCTGCAGTACTAATTATATAGTTATAAATAATCTTTTCACCGATCCAGAACTGAGGAATAGGCTGGAAGATATTCAAAATGTGTAAAACGCTTAAAAACGTATTAGAAAACATTGACTCGTCCACAAATTCGTGAAAATAAATTAGTCCAGATGTTAGAAAAAAGGTTTCTAATTATTTTGAGAAGTTTCCTCGTATCAGTAATTTTCAGGTTTGTAATATGTATATGATTATAAATAGATTAAAACTTGTATTTCAGGAAACAGCGCGGGCATTACAGATTGTTGTAAATCAGTTTTAAAATATAAAGAAGGTTTAAAACAGGTTTAAAAGTTGAGTTAGTAGAGAAGACCTAAATAAGGTAATGTTGGTAATGGGACCAAAGATCAAATAACACTTGAAATATATAATATGTACAATAATTGTAAGTAGTTTTTATGAATCTGTTTGATGTTTTATATTTCTTGAAATATATATTTTTTTACTTTACAGGATACACAAAGAATAATAAAAAATACAGTTACTCACTAAAAGCACTTAAGGTTTGTAATAGATGTAGTTAGAATATCAAACACTAAACCAAACCAAAAATTATGTTTTATTTTACTGGTATTCCCTACATTTGAAAGGGAAGGCATTTCATAAATAAGCAGAAGGACATTGTATAGTACACTCTATATTAATAATTATTTTTTATCCTATACTTGTTAGTTGACGCATCACTTATTAGGTATAAAATTTACTACTGATTCCAAACCTATAGTTGTGGTTGTGACATATTCTGATGTGTTTCTGGCAATTTAAAATAAGTTAATATTTAAACAAACATTTCTGGCTTTCCTGACAGGAGTGTGAACACAAATTTAATAAAGGTATAATGTGGATAATGTTCTGATTATTACAGTTTGCATGGATGTTTTTGTATATTGTTATTTTTAATAAAGTATATTTAATGAGTTTTTGAGTATTTCTTTTTCCCTCAGAGAATTGTGTTCTAATCTTTATATATAAATTTTCATAAAGTATATCTACAAAATTTATTACCTTATAACTTTTTGCTAAAGACTTTGTAGTTGATACAGTTTAACAGTATACAAAAGAACTATTTAAATAAGATGTTTGAAAATATATAGCTGTTTTTGCACACATCAATTCAATTTGTGATTAACTGTACTGAAATAAAAACAAATTAAGAGAAATGGGGTGATCTATCAACTATAACATGAAACGCATCATCCTATTTCCAAGTCTTCTATTAATTTCACTTTTTAAACAACTATTTTTATTCAATAATCTTGATAATTCTAGGAACTCTCAGACATCGTCAAAACATGAAAACAAAAATTCACCTCCTATAGTTCTTACGTCCCTTTAACTGAAATATAAGAAACAGGGGAGTTAATATTCTGACTGAGAAAGTTTATAAAATACCTTTAAGTAAAATCTCTTCGGATCTGCGGTAAAATAACTTTATTCTTATTAAATAATTTCAATAATCTATGTTTTTATTTATGATTTATGACAACCACCTAATAACCTAACTTTAACGTCAACTTGACAATCCTGAAAAATGTTATTGTTAACCAAAGAGTAAATCAATTTCTGAATTCGCTAACGCCAATTTATTTTTCATTAAAAAAAATTACCAATTTTTGTAACTAGGTCGGCCATATTGAGGAACTTTTAAAAGAATTGTACTATAACATATGTACCAAATCTGTTATTTTTATCTGAAAAAATAATAAAAGTTATAGGGGCGAACCGCTTTTGAAAAACACCCGGTATGTTTTTTTATCTGAGAAATTGTTCAGGTTCAAGAGAGCTAGTTGAAAATTCACGTTTTTCGGCAACCCCGCAAAACACCACATTTTTTGCATCAAAGTTATCAAAGGTTGGCATTTAGTGTAAGCTTTTATATATTAAAACTTTTAATTACGTTGAGACTATAGTTAGTAAAGTTCTTAGATCACCAATTCCATAAATATATCTTACCTAAAACTTTTCCTTCAAGCTTGGTCGCTACTGAGTCACATAGTTTTACTGCAATATCTGAGGCAACATTTTTTGCAATTAAATGATCCCGCATCTTTTCCAAAGCTGGTTGCATATCAGAAGCCGTCAAATTCTTAGAACCTAAGAGTATAATTATAAATTATTAAGAATAGAGAGAATATTTAAGCTTACTATACTTTATTAATATCTTAATTAAGTCCGGCAATAGTGCGTCGGGCATCTGTAGCTCCTAAAATAAAAAAATTGACAATTTTGTTTAAGTGAAAACCTAAAGTATATCAGGATGTATTTCAGGAAAATATTTTAACTTCTATAGACTGGCTCAAAAAACTGTGAGTGAATTGGGATGATTTTTTAAAATGGCACACCCTGTATATTATTGCATTTTTGACTTCCTTTCAGATCACTTTACATAATCCAGATATGAGTAAATATGTTTTGATAGTTTCAGAGATATTAATGAAGAAATGAGTTTCATTTAAAAAAAATCATCCCGATCCCCTCACATTTTTTTGAGCCATCCTATAGAACTTAAAATATTTTCCAGAAATACATCCTAGTACATACTTTAGGTTTGCACTTAAACAAAATTTCCAAGTTTTTTATACCCGACGCACTATTGCCGGACCCTGTATATAAAAAAAATTACGTCATTATAAAACATAATGCATAGGAAATAGTAGACAGCAAAGTTATATCTATATCTATTAACACAACCCTATTAATAACCCTAATATCTATTAACACAGCCCATACAATAAAATAAAAACACATAATATAAACTTTCATCCTTAAGCCGCGTCCAAGCTATTCGAACAAAATGTTCGCGAACATATATAATTAAACAGATACTAAGTGAAAATTGTGAGATAGATAGATTTATAAATAATAAAGCCAACAAGTACAGCTAGCCTAGGCCTATTAAGGAGCGCGGAGCTCCGAACGGCTAGCTTGTACGTCAGAGCGTGCGTCTGCCTATGCTAGAGCGCGCGCGTTCTTTTTCCGACGGGTATCGGTAAATCAACAGGAGCGAACGGCGTGCATTTCGGCGGACATTGTACCGGACACTTGGAAGGGTCTCATTTAATTTCCGACGTCTATCTGTGATTTTTATTTTTTACCGAGTATTCGACAATGGGAGACGCAGTTACTGGGATCGTGAAAAACATTTACAACTAATTTGTTTACACAAAGAAAAGATTTTATAATTTTAATTTTATTGTGGGTTTTGTGTGAATAGCTATGTAGCTAGACTTCGTCCATATAATTTCATTTTTGTTTATAAAGACCTTTATGATTATTTTTATTAAAAACCGGAATTATAATGTGATTCCGAAATTTAAAATTACTACTTAATAGGAAGTTTGACACCGGAAATTAAATTTTACCATTACATTTTTAGAAATAAATATACCGGGTGTTTCTGAAAAGTGGTTCACTTCTATAACTTTTTTAATTTTTTAGATGAAAAACGAGATTTGGTATGTTAGTATAGGACATAAATCAAAATTGATCGACGTTTTCAATTATTTTCGGTCAATACTTATTTCACCGGAAATGACAACAACTTTTGATTTAAATGGTACCCTCGGTATTTTTTTACCGTATATGATAGAAAGTGACATTCTAAATAGAATGATATATTTATGTCAACTTTTGACACTTTCAATTTAAAAATGGCCATAAATAAACGTAACGACAATTTTACTCCAAATACCAAGTATGTGGTACCAAATTATTCGTAAAAAATGCTTTTTCCAAATATGCTGAGCCAGCCTCGTACCATTTGAAAAATTTGAGTTATCATTAAAAATACGATTTGGGCATCTCTTAAGCGGCCATGAAAGGATACAAAAAAAATTACACGATCAAATATATGTTTCCAAAGTTCTTTGATTACAAATTAATAGTTTTAACTCAGTCTTGGCACTCTAGATTGAAATTTAAAATGCTATTTTTATTTAATAGGAATTGTCTAAAATTGACGTATGGTATGTCATTCTATTCAGAATGTCATTTTCTATCAAATAAAGTAAAAAAGTACTTAGGATACAATCTAAAAATACAAAGTTGTAGTCATTTCCGGTGAAACAGGAAGCGACCGAAGGTAATTAAATACGTCAATCAATCCCGATTTATGTCATATACTAACAAACCAAATTTCGTTGTATTATCTGAAAAAATAAAAAAGTAAAAAAGTGAGCCCGTTTTGAGAAACACCTGGTAGAATCGGCTGAAAATGAATACAGGTCTTAAAAATACACTATAACGAATAATCTACCAAAAGGCCCCTGTAACCTTCCGCCTGCTAAATATTGATTCTTCAACGACAAAAGTTCTTAAACTGTTTACCGGTTAATTTATTTAATAAAATGCTTGCACTCGAAATCCGGGCACTCGAAAAAACAGCGACTACCTAAACGCATCCTAGATCTATAGAGCAAACTGGTTGTCGCATCCTTCCCCGCACCTCAGTCCTCGGGACCGATGCGATAGGCTGTGCCGTCGTTTACGACCTGCTGCTACGAGTATATAGTGTGAATTATATACACATTTAACATTTTGTTCGAGTAGCTTGGACGCGGCTTTATGTAATTTTTAGCTGCAGTCAAATTTGAAATTGGGAATAAATAAAAAAGATGATGCAAACTTAATATGTACAATATAAGGAGAATTACCAACAAGGCCTTTAAAGATTGAGAACATGCCCCCTTTAGAAGTCGGTTTTTTAATTTCTTCTCTCTCAACCTCTTCCTCGAATTCCTCATCTGAAGATTCTACTTCCAAATCTTTTATTCCACCTTCCATTGACCCAACTATCTAAAATAAGAATAAAGAATGATGTGTACTCATGCAACCGTACTTTAAATATACGTTCTTACTTCAGTGTCAGCTGTATAATGACTTTTAGCATCTTCTGGTCTATCTACAGTCCTTTCTAAATTCTGCAAGTCTTTTGTTGTACCTCCTAAGTCCCATACTCTTGGTTTCTTCCCCGCTTTTTCCTGTGTGGGGCTTTTAGGACTTTTTGGACTTTTTCTATAACAAGACAAATAAAATAATCGTCTTCTTAAGTTGTTTAAAGTACAGGGTGGCTCAAATTCGACGCTTTTAAATGGAAACATCCTTTTCTATAAGAGATAGACGAAAACTAATATCGGTGTCTGGAGCTCAATTTTCATCAAAAACATGATGGTGAAAACCGCATATCAATATCTGTTACCGTTTCGGAGTTACGGGATGTTTTTCAAAAATGTGCATTTTTAACAAATCGCTGTAACTTTTTTGCTATTGAAAATTTTGTATTTCTATGAAAACTTTTCCAAAGCACCTTTTTACGTAGAATTTAATAGTTTAAGTATAATTATTTTTAAATTAATAATTTAAGTGTTATCAATAGAAAAAATGATTTTTTATTTGGGACACCCTCTATATTTTTAATTAACTGAAAAGAATTTAAAATTACCTTTCCAAATATATAGCACACTTGATATTTTGTTATAATCCCCTTCGAAATACAGAATTTTTAAAAGTTCGCCACTTTTAACTAGTAGGCTTTGGACCCCTTATTGATGATATGCCCTTAATGGAACTCGAAAACATATTTTTAGAGCAAAACGACGCACCGCCTCTGAACGCTGAAGTTATCAGGAAATTTTTGCAGCCAACTTCAAAAATAATTAGATAGCTAACCAAGATCCCAGTCGTTGGCCGTCAAGGCCACCCGATTTAGTGCCCATGGATCTAATCCTATGGATATATTTGCGGAAGAATGAGGTTCCTTATTCTTCCGTATAATCTAGACAAGAATTAAAAATATTTATGAGAGGGTATCTTTTACCCCCACTGAGTTAACGAATTCCGCGAGAAATTTTCAAAAACTGCCCAGTCTGTCCATAACAGAAGACGGTTGATATGTCGAACACTTGTAGAAAAATCTCATGTCTTGGTTTGCTGTTTATTTTTATTGTTATTAGATATAGTTTAAATGTGTTGATGTTGGTTAAATATATTTTAAATTGTTATAAAATTCTGCATCTATCATAGCAAATATTATTTTCGTTTTAATTGATGCTCACAGCTAGAATTTTTTTGCATTACAGCCGGTACCGCTCAAAGCCTGCTTATTTAAAGCGGGCGAATTTTTATATACTCTATATCTCGAAGAGGAATCGAGCAAAATATCAAGTGTGTTATATTTTTGGAAAGGTAATTTTAAATTCTTTTCAATAAATTAAATATATACAAGGTATCCCATATAAAAAATCAAATTTTCTGTTGATAATTCTTAAATTATTAATTTAAAAAAAAAATTATTTAAACCATTAAATTCTACGTAAAAAAGTGCTTTGGAAATGTTTTCATAAAAATACAAAATTTTCCATAGCAAAAAAGTTACAGCGATTTGTTAAAAATGCACATTTTTGAAAAACACCCCGTAACTCCGAAACGGTAACAGATATTGATGTGCGGTTTTCACCATCATGTTTTTGACAAAAACTGAGTTCCAGACACCGATATTAGTTTTTGTCTATCTCCGATAGAAAAGGCTGTTTCGAAAGCCGTACGAAGCCGAAAACGAAAGCCGTACGAAGTGGGACGGAGCGTCTAGTCTCTTATTGGCCTGGATATCCGATCGATAATTCAAAATCCAGGCTTGCGCACTACGCTTGAGCACAGCTAACTGAGCGACTTATGCAAATTTATATACCCATTTCACCGGCTTGGCTTCACAGAATGCAGTTTGGAGTCGATATTCTTTAGTTAATATATATATGGTTAGACAGAGACAGAAGACTGCCGTACGTCGTGCATCAACTCTGATAGTAGGCGATGTAGAAATCGCCGAATAAAGGCGTTTGCAGTACTCTAACGGTCAAAATTATTTTGTTTTCTAACGCAACGGCACAGTCAGCGTACACAAGCGGTAGTGAATATTTTAATATACAAGACCACAAAATAATATTGATTATTACAACACACTTCCGTGTATTAACAGTATTTTTATGTATTGACAACATTAACAGTAAATAATGTAATGTAATAAACCGCTTAAATTCTGCTAAAATTTTAGGGTAGGCGCCGCCTACCTTGCCTACCCTGATAGGCAGCCACTGTTACGTTTTAGATTTTAAGTGTAAAATTGCTAATAAATTAAAAGAAATATTAATAAACTACTGCATTATAAATTATTCTACATAGAATGCCAAGAATGTAACAATTAGTGTAAAAGACTGGTAGCCAGTAACCATAACTAGATAAATATTGAATTCTGTCTTCTATATTAATAGTAAATCATGCAATGTTTTCAATTTTTAACTGAATATTGATATTTTAGATAAAAAAAATTAAGGCCTAATAAGTCATAAGCGGTGATTTAATAATAGAATGTATAACAATTTAATAATATGATATATCAATTTTATGGTCTGATAGATTTACCCAAGAACAGTAGGACTGCTCATTCAACCAAAAGTGTCCGCCAGGTGCATGCGAAAACTACTCGCTTTGTGACGTCATTGTAGTCCTTGTCATGATTATTAGTCCTTATCCGGCAACCAATAATACATACACGTGCATTATTGGTTGCCGAATGCAAAACGTTCATTATTTAGTTTATTTATTTAAACACCTTATATGTATGCAGTATAGAAAATTAACTGTATAAATCGTATTAAATACTCGGATAATGCATTTTTAAGAACAGCAGTTCCCAGCATCACCTTTTGCAAGCATTCTTTTTAGAGTACTTCCATATTTGGCTTTAAAATAATTAATAAACAATATCATAGGCACTTCGTAAGCACTTTATCACAATCCACAACACAAAATGAACGTATTTATACATTCTATAGCTCTAAAAACTTTAAATACACCTTTTCCACATTTAAAATTGACAAAATAATTAACTCAAAATTTCTCAGCTGTTATTTTTATAAGTTTACCATAGGCAACTAATAATACACACTATCATGACAAGGACTACAATGACGTCACAACTGTCAGCTGAAGCGCGGGAAGAGGCGAACATACGTCTTATGAGGATGAGCAATCCTATTAGTTTACAATTCTTGAGATTTACCAATCTCAATTACTCTGTCCCTCACCATCAAGAAAAGTAACAATAGTTTAGTATTTAATAAAAAAAAAATAGACTGAACATAATTTACGAAATACAACGATCAGACGAATACTACATAATAAAATAAATAGTAATACTACCACCACTACTTGGTATCTCCTCAGTAAAAATGTAACAATTGTATTTTTATATCATGAAACTGTTCAAAGATGTGCATAGATATACCAATTTTAAATACCTAAGTACTTAGTATACAAACTCACACTCATTTCTAAACACTGCCGAATATTTGAAACTTACTTGCCATCTTTCTTCTTCTGTGCCATTTTTTGGGCAAATTTAGCTCTGTTCACTGCGATTATATCTTCGGTAACCCCATTTTGTGAATTGGATAGTAATTCCTTGACTTCTAAACCTGTAATTATGGAATATAATTTTTTATTAAGTGTGTGAGTACAGTACAGTAATATACCTACTTTCATCAACAAAATTAACTTCTTTCTTTTTTTCCTTTTTAACCGGTTTATCTTCATTCTTTTTTTCTATCATTGAAGCCACAGTTTTTTTGGATTTTGCAGATTCCTCAAAGGTTCTCATCTGTTTAGGAAGTTTAGATTGTACTTTAGCCCATTCCTCTGACTTCCGAAGCACGTATTCATAATTTTTTGAAAATTCAAAATTTTGGAAGAAGCTACGGTTGGATAATTCATTTTTATATTTATCTCGAAACTCTAAATGTATGTCGCTTAAAAACTTGTCAACATATGATAACTGCAATATTTTTTGATAAGCCACTATAAACACTAAATCAAATTCATTGTCTAACTTATACTGTAAAATAGCTCCATTATCTTCGAATGTATTGATTGTTTTTTCCTATAAATAAAAGATATAAAAAAATTATAGTTAACATATTTATTAATGAAATATTTCAATCACATACCTGTAATATAACACTCTGTATTAATGAATTTACGGAGGTGGTGAAGATATTACTTGTACTTTGAAAGCACCATAAAACAATGCCTCCCTTGCTAAAAATAGTAAATAAATCAATCATTTTCACAGGTGCCCCTTTAGCCCAAATATTTAAAATCTTTTACACGTCACTGTCACTGTTTCTAGGTTAGGTTTTCTCTTCTTTTTCTGCTAATGGGCAGCTACAGCGGCTCATACCCTGGCTACAGCCACGTACTTTTTACATATTTTTTTTTTTTTTTCCTTCAGTTTAACGGCCTTTAGCTGCCTGGACTATACGGCCCGAATTTCATACATATAATATAGCGTTTTTTACGGATTTACCATTGGATTTACCAGTGCCATATACATATATAATTTATATGATCTCGACCTGATATTATATATATGATATGCAAATATTCAACTTGACATTTATCAGCTGTTTGACATTAAAGGTTTTCTGAAAATATTTTGTATTTTGAAAGGTTAATTTTGAATCGAGACGTCAGAAAGTATTGTGAAAAACTTGTTATGTATGGTTATTAATTCAAACTACACTTTATCTTTTGTGCTATGCTTTTATGCATTTACCTATTTTGAAGTGATACCTAAGTTGAATTTGATACCTACCTCCTACCTATTTTTTTTAAAATCTTAATTATTTGTTTTACAATGGTCGATTTAATACAAATAACAATTAGATTTACACAAATATTATGTTATATTGGGATGATCTAATAGTGTTATAGGTACTCTATATGTTTTATGTTCTAACCGCAAAAATTAATTTTACATTACAAAAAAATTCTGATTACAATATTGACGTTATTTGGAAGTGATGTATTTAGAATTAATACAATATAAATAATGGAAGGAACGACGCATTCTTTTCGGTAAGTTTTAGATTTGTTTTCTAATATTCTATCTGTATACACAGGTTTATTATAATTAGTATTAGTGCGTCTTTATATTTAACTATATTTTTTTAAATTATTGTATGACTAATATGAATTTTGAGTTAATATGCAATTTCCTTAGCAAATACACTAGTTTACGGCAATACACCAAATTCAATTATGACACATTCTAATTAATATTATACTACCATTTATTTGATTCTTATGATTCAATAATTTTATTATATTATCTCTTAAAGAATCATATTACCTATCTTATCTTGAAATAAAAAATTATCTGTATTGAACTTCTCTGTCTATGATGATTAAATAATTATTGTTAATAATAACTTTGTTTTTTAACAAACCATTAAAAAGGAAAAATATGTACTTATAGGTATTATTTGCTATTATTTTGTTAAGTCAGTAGGGACTTGAAGCATGTATTTATAATTCCTGTTGTAGTTTTGTAAGGTTGGTTTAAAAGTTTTGAGCACCATCATTTGTCCTTATATAATTCATTACCTTTGTATATCTATCTATTTATCCTTATCTAATTATTCCTTGAATGCTGATAAAGTAATATGTAATCAAAATCCATTATCTTCAGGAAATCTTATCCTTGAAAGCTGATATGTAATAAGTTACTATTAATGTCAATGTTCTAGTTGTTTTATTGTTATATTTTATTTAACTAATTCAATGAATTATTTAAAATATAATTTTTATTTTCACTGATTCCATATAGAAAGATATGAACTATGTATATTCTTACTTTTCTCATATTTTTGTTTCCCAAAATGACAAATTAAATTTTAATGTTTGCATATTTATTAATGTAAAATGCAAAGAGAGAGAGAGAGAGAGAGAAAAAAAAATACTTTATATTTATTATACACATATTTTCTTTATTTGATTTGTTTTCTTTTATTTTTAATTTTATTAATAGTACATAGTTTTATTTAACATATCATTATAAAAATATTATACATATTATTAAAAACATATTCAATTCTTGAATACTGAGTATTGAAATATATCCCTTACACTAGAAGAAAGTAGAAACCCCTTACCTATAGGCCTTGTATATGAATTTTTAAAGTAGCTCAACCTAAAGCCCCGTTCTCAGAACTGCGTCGTGTCGACAGCGACACTGACTGACACTTCAAACGACCAATGGGAGCTGTACTAAATTTAAAATTGACAGCTGTTTGAATTTTGTACAAATCTGATTGGTTCTTTTGTCGTGTCGCTGGCGACAGTCGCAGTTCTGAGAACGGGGCTTAAAGCCCCGTTCTCAGAACTACGTCGTGTCGACAGCGACACTGATTGACATTTCAAACAACCAATAGGAGCTGTACTAAATTTAAAATTGACAGCTGTTTGAATTTTGTACAAATCTCATTGGTTCTTTTGTCATCTGAGAACGGGGCTTTAAGCCCCGTTCTCAGAACTGCGACTGTCGCCAGCGACACGACAAAAGAACCAATGAGATTTGTACAAAATTCAAACAGCTGTCAATTTTAAATTTAGTACAGCTCCCATTGGTCATTTGAAGTGTCAATTAGTGTCGCTGTCGACACGACGCAGTTCTGAGAACGGGGCTTAAGACGTTTATGGATGTAAAGCACCAGATGGCGGGGCGTATTTCACGGTCTTTTACTACAGAAAAATATTTTTTGTTGCTCTGAATTTTGAAGCGACCAATAAAAACAGAGAAAATAAAAATCGATAATTTTCGGACTGTGCCAATTGGTTACTAATCGACCAGATACTTTTTATCTATTAGATATGCTATAAAAGCTTGAATTTATACAATTCGACCATTGTAAATACCCGACAAATTTCGCAAGGCCGACGAGGCCGATGTTTTTCACTGATAAGAAAAAAAGATTTAGTGTTTATGAAAATAGGGCTAAAAGTAAAAAAATATAACCCTTTAAAACCTGAGGAAAAAAATTTCTGTTGGTTTTTTTTTGCCTCTGAGTATTTGGTGAGGATATTTTTTTTAATAAATTTTACACTTTTAGAATTCGCTTTGAAAAAAATCTGTTTTGTAGAGAGATATATTTATTTTGTAGATTTTCTTGCAGTGCAGTGGCGAAATACTCATAAAGGATTTTTTTTTGGAAATAGATCTATTATTTCCAAAACTGGGCTTATATTTTCGAAGTTGTAAATAATAAAAAATACTACTTTTAATGTGAATTTTATCTCTAAAGCGCGTAACATTGTCTTTAATGATTAGCCATAAAAAACTATTAATTCTAATCGAAGTAGACAATCTCCTTGGCGTTTAGATATTTTCGAAAAAATAATGTGTACTTGACTTTTGATACGAATTTTAATAGTATATTTTTTATTAGCGGTTTAATATATATATTTATGACATTAATATGCAAATTTATATTTTCCATTTTAATGATATTACTGCTGATTGCAGGTACTTTAAAAATTCCATATAACTATATTAATTAGTCATTAAACGGATACTGCTTTAGCATGATGCTCTAATAATAGTTGTTTTAATTTTTATTGAGTTATATTTTTTTCATATTTATTATTTATTTAACTGTACTGGTGCCTTGGTTTTCTCATTTGCTCCAAATTTTACCCCAACTTGTGTCATCTTAAAATTCTTACCGCAGAGAACAAATCTAAAAATCTTATTTTGGCGGTCTTAGCTTTACTGAACGCAAATGGTCTCGACAACAAAACTGTGAGTGAATTTATTGAGCTTACATCGTTATGTATGAAACAAAATTGTTTTCAATTTAATAAAAACTTTTTTGAACAGCGGGAAGGTACAGCAATGGGTAATCCATTGTCTCCATTTTTGGCTAATTTATTCATGAGCAGGTTTGAAGTGGAGGCTAGGAATCAGTTTGAGTATTTTCCAAGAGTATGGTTTAGGTATGTGGATGATATTTTTGTTGTTTTTGACACAAATTCAGACACCATAGATAATTTTATTTCTAAGTTAAATAATCGTTTTCCTTCCATTAAATTTACGCATGAAATTGAGAACAACGACAGATTACCATTTCTAGATGTATTAGTTATTAGAAATACTAATTGCCTGGAATTTGATATCTATAGGAAAAATACGACCACACGCAGATATATTCCTAATGAATCACATCATAGTGTTGTAAGCCCTACGGCTAATACTATCCGAGATACAGCCGAGAGCTATTCTTAGCGGGACACCCGGTACAATTTGGTGAATTTTGATGTCAAACGCTTTATACAACAAATTAACCACTTATATGAAACGTATAATAAATTTTTGGGGCAAAAAACTATGTTAAGCAAAGGTCTTTCGACTATATTATGAGTCGAAATATCAATATTAGTTAATCAGTACAAATATTTTGGATTAAAAAGAAGATATTCTTACATATCCATTTCAAAATTAAATCTGAACAGTTTCCAACTAGGTCTTTTTCAATTTGAAACTTTTTATTTCACTAAGATGTTTGATCTTGCTACTCCCTATTAAATTATTAAAAAAAATTAATGATTGTTTTACAAGTAAAAAGCTACGGACAAGCTAGTTTCGATTGGATTTTAGACAGAGGTGTTTTACACTATTATTATTTTTTGTATTAGAGAATATTTCATCATATTTGACAAACTTTTCATTGTGGTGATGAGAATATAAAATAAGCTCATATTAATAGGTATTCTTAAGCACAATCATTGAGCACATTATTCTATCATAGTAATACCTATTTCGACAAATATTACTTTATTATTTATACAGTATATTTCTGATTGTTTTCATTTAAAATGTTTTATTTCAGAAGCTGGTCAACTATTTCCGTTGGTTTTTTACGGCTTTGCTTTATATTAGTTAATAATTTATATTGTATTCCGACGTATATAATATGGATGTATATATTGTGGCCTATCCAAATAGTTAATCCTAAGTTATATTGGAAAATCGAGGGCCATATGTTTCACTTTCTGTTAGCGATGGTGTCCTTGTGGTGCGATTCGGCCGGCTATAGAAGTAAGTAAATATAATGGATAAGATAGTTTTTTTTTAATTTTTAAATAAATCATATTTTTAATTTTACAATTTAATTTGAATTTCTTAAAGTCAGAGTTTTTTCTGATACAGTTTAATACGAAAGAGTCACTTCCGGGAAAATTGTCACTCGTGCTTTTAGAATCCCTAGTTTCATGTTGTTCTAACCCTTTTAACCCCTAATACAAAACAACAAGAAAAACACATGAAAAATGCAATACAAATTTACTCATTAGCCTCCTAACTACATCTCACAGCAAAGGGCGTCCGCGAGGTGACGTCACAGCTAGGAACGCCCCGTTTTCGGTTATGTGGGCGTGTCTGCACGATTAAAGCAGGCAATGGGCTCTTTCACTATATTTTGGAATTAGCATAATTGAATAAAGCAATTAATTCTAAAATTTTCTGCTATCTCACTTTCGAAAAATTTGAAGTCGTTCTTAAGAAAATAAATAAAAACAAAAGAGCCCAGAATAAAAATCCGCACTTTATTTTTAATACGTCACACCTGGCATGTTGAAAAGCGGCAACACGGCCGCGGCCGGGCCACCATGCTGACCCACCACCACCTCCACACAAAGCCATTCAACCTTTTCCAGTATGGCGGAGATAGAAGTGCTTTATTTGGCGCGTATTTTAAACCCTGTTTTATTTCCAAATAGACATTTTTCACACAAATGTCGGGTTAGATTACGTAATATTTCACTAATTTGTTAATATACAGGGAGTCTAAAGTTCTCCACATAAGTATGGAATTTTTTGTATTATTGCTTTTATGAAAACATCAGTTAGTTACTTTTTATAAAAAGGTCTGCTTTCTCAGAAAATAGGTATTGTTAAAATATTCAAACTTGAAGTAGCATATATAGGGCGTTCAAAATCGTCGGAAAAAGAAATAACCAGAAATATATGACAGAAAAAGCAATATAAACTAAATATTCAATTGCAAAAACACTTACCTACCATAGTTTAGAATTTACTGAACGTTTGATAAATATATACTATTATTGACAGTATAGGAAGTTACTTGTCTTAGTAAAAGCCTTGGTAAATGCTCTTCGAATTATAAACTACACTGGCTTGGGTCAAAAAATATGGAATATTTTTCTATGTTTTGCAGCATTACACAAATGGGAATAAATTTAAACTATAATAGGTGAGGATAAATAAAAAATATAATATGTGTTTCAAGATTTTATATAGAAAAAAAAAACTAAATACCTTTTTGGGGGTTCGTAAGTAAAACTTACGCTTAGCTTAGTTTTCTTTACTCTTTCTCTTTACATAGGGCATTGTCTTTGTGGTAAAGACGTCATTCCTTTTTTTTGCATAGTTCTTCAATAAAATATTGGATATTCTGAACAAGATGGATTTAATAATAAATTCTGACGTATGTGAGGGGCAATTGTGACCTAAAATAAGACTTACATCTAGGCCATTTATATTGTCAAATGTCAATGTTGTAAATATCGTTCTGTGATCTTTTTGATGTAAAAAGCTTGATTCTTCTTCCAATATTTTACTTATAGTGAGGTAAGTGTAAGCAGTAGCCATAACTACATCCTCACTAGGGTAACAGAGGCTTTGGCTTTGGCTTTTGAGGCATATTTAATGCAGCGAGAACTACTAGTAGGAGTGAAATTATCTCTTTTAATAGCTGTCAACCATTTTTTACGAAGCTCGTCATTTTTGGGGAATATAAAAGCGGAAACCTTGGGACTCCCTCTATAATTCCCGTGACAATTTGGAACAGAGCATGTAAAAGGCGTGCTACAATAAAATGTTAACCCTTTAATACCTATCTTTTGATTATTGTAAGTAACCATTATAAAGTACTATGCAGACTGGCGGTGAAGGCTTTTTACTCATTTAGGTGTAATATCTTAATAGATACTTCTAGTTCTTACCTTAAAATAATTAATAATAGAGGAGTACGACAAGCACAAAAGTTTGAAGTTCTCTATGTGGAATGTCTATTTGGATTTTTATTACACTGTGTGTTATTTTATCACAATTTTCTGATCACACCATGCACTGAACGCTAAGAACTAAACAAACGTGTTGCAGAAGCACAACAAACTAGAGATAATTAATTATTTCTGGTATGCAATCGGAACGAGAAACCACTACCGGCTTTTCAGGTTAAAGGTAAACAATTTAATAATGCGCTGCCTTCGCCGCCATATTTACCTTCCCCATATCATGTTGATTGGCCTTGAGTTGAGATGGTGCTGGTCAAATCAAATCGCAATGTTGCCAGTTGTTGGCTGGCGCACGAGTACGGTTCTTCAATGTGATTGGGTGTATTTTTCATACGTCATCAATTGGCGCTTTAAAATTATTTCAAATTAAAGCAATTTTGAGGGCCTATAAAAAAATATTCAATATCGTGGAACTATTTTTTTTGGATAAATATACTGAAAATAGTCTTCTATTTCAGATTTTGTCCTTGAATTGTGTATTTTATTTTTTGTGAAAGAGCCCATTGTCTAGCTAGATACTTTTAGGAATTTTAGCAAAATATTTTTGCTGATAATTTTGAAATATTGGATATAAATACGTATTATGATGGTGTCAAGCAATTTAAAAATTAATGCAAAATAACTATTGCTTCATTAAAATACTGATGTCGTTATATTTGTTACATTTTTATGTTTTGTCAAAGTTTTAGAAGCTGGTGATGACATATCAGAATGCCTTGATAAGAGAACCCTTATAATAGCAAACCATCAATCCACAGGTGATGTTCCAATGCTATTCTCTTGCTATAATGTAAGAAAAGGCGTTTTGCCTAATGTAATGTGGATTATGGATAGTCTTTTTAAGTATACTAATTTTGGCGCAGTTAGTTATTTGCATCAGGATTTTTTTATTAAATCGGTAAGTATCCTTACCTTAATATATACAAATATATTTGACTTTATTTTATTATATACAGGGTGTTACTTAATGACATGCTAATATTTAAGGGGGGTGAAGATTCTAAGAAAAACGAAAACATATGAATGATATATGGCGGATTCATATTGCCATTTTAGATTGGTTATTTTTTAACTTTTTATTTTGTTTTATGCGAAAACGGCTTTGCGCACGCGTAATTCTAGCCTACAAATATTTTTAGTTTTGATTTATTTTATTTTATAATATTGCATAAAGTATAAATTTATAATATGTTATGCATCAGACAAACAAATATGTATACTATAAATAGTAAAACTACTATAAATAATGATTAAACTTAACTTTTATCCAGCATGAGAAAAAACAATATGGCGATATTATTATATAACTTGGTAATATTTGAGGGGTAGTTTCATCTCGTTGGAATTTGACTTTCGAAAAATCCGTTTGCCAAAAATAAGCTTTTTACGTCAAGCAGTTTAAGCAGAATCGTGGTTAATCAATTACCCAACTTTTTGAAACACCCTGTATGATTTTTAAAAAATTTCAAAATATGTAAAAAAAACAAATAAATTATGCTTGTCCAAGCGTTTTCCCGAAAGACTAACCGTTTTTAAATAACAAATATTGTAATATTTGGGGGCGTTTTCACCCCCTCTTGGAGTTTGAGATTCGAGAAACCCCTCCTTATCGAACCTCTACACCCCACAGTCAATCCGTTTGCCAAAAATCAGCTTTAAACGTCAAGCAGTTTAAGCAGAATCGTGATTGCTCAATGGTCATATTTTATGAAACACCCTGTATAAATTTATAAAAAATCTTAAAATATGTAAAACAACAAAATAAAATATACGTGTTTAAGAGTTTTTCCGAAAAACTCACCGGGTTTTAAATAGAAAATATTTTAATATTTGAGGGATAGTTTCACCCCCTTAGAATTCGAGTTTCGAAAAATCCCTTTATATCGAACCTCTACACCCTAAAGTCAATCTGTTTTCCAAAAATCAGCTTTTTACGTCAAGCGCTTTAAGCAGGATCGTGATTAATCAATGACCAGATTTTTCGAAACACCCTGTATACATTTTTAAAAAATCTTAAAATATGTAAAAAAAGAAAAGAAAATATAGATGTTTAAGCGTTTTTTCGGAAACTTGACCGTTTTTTAAATAAAAAATATTGTAATATTTGAGGGGTGGTTTCACCCTCTTGGAACTGGAATTTCGAAAAATCCTTTCTTATCGAACCTCTACACCCTAGAATCAACCTGTATGCCAAAAAGAATAATCGCAGGATCGTGATTAATCAGTATGTCAGTCACTTAAGGATTTTATATATTAGTTAGTATAGATAATCTATTTTTAAATTCGGGATTCGATTTTTTAAAAATTTTTGAAATACCATACTATTAAAAAAAACAGCGTCCAAGACGGCTAGGGAATGCCAATCGATGATAATTTTGGCGAGGTCAGGCCCTACACGTCATTACTTGGCCCGTACTCTTCTTTATTTTTTAATGGAGCTTACTGCCAGTTGGCCTTAAGAAGATTATACTTTATTTCTCTATTGAGTAAAAATTATTTTAAAACGGTGTAGTTTAAAATTCGAGAAAAAATAAACAACTTATTTTCTGCAAATAAATTTTGGTGTCTGGAAACGTTGTATCCTTCTTTAATCTTTCATTTTAATTTTATTAATTTTGACAAGTTTTATGTCAATTTTTAGTAAATGATGTCTAGAGATTGACCTCGCTAAAATTATCATCGATTGTTACTCCCCAGCCGTCTTTGACGCCGTTTTTTTTTCGATCATACGGTATAAGGTATATATAATTAGTATATAATAATATAATATACAGGGTGTTTCAAAACAAATGCGAAAAACTTTAGGGGGTGATTCCTTGTTCAAAATAAAGGGTAGTTTGCTTTATAAACGTTGGGTCAAAAGTCAACCATTACGGAGATATCGCGGTACAAAGATGGCGGAAAATTAATGTTTTTATTTTTTATCTTGAAAACAAAAAGAGATAGACTAATGAAATTTTATGGAAGCATTACTGTTATGAAAACACACTTTCTGGTAATTTTTTCACTTTTTAAAATGAGTGGAAGGGGTTGAAATAAACTACCCCCTATCATTCTTGTTAACGAAATTTAAAGAAAAATCTTATCAAACACATGCAAAAAATTAATTTGGATAGTTTAGTTTGTTTAGAAACTTTTTATCTCTTGTGTTTTTTGATAAAACTCACCGATTTGAAATTAAAAATAAAATGTAAAGAATTACATGTCAGGACAAAAAACATTTTTAGATTAAGAATCTAGTGATAATAACGATAATAATAATCATCTAGATAATAACGTATTGCAGTAGAGTAATGTCAAATGAAATAATATTAGGAACATCCTAAAAGTAACAGCGGCCGACTAGATTTTTTCCTAAAAAATTACAGCAGCCCACTAGATTCTTTATCAGAAAATGTTTTTGTCCTGACATGTAATGCTTTACATTTTATTTTTTAATTTCAAATCGGTGAGTTTTATCAAAAAAACACAAGAGATAAAAAAGTTTCTAAACAAACTAAACTATCCAAATTAATTTTTGCATGTGTTTGATAAGATTTTTCTTTAAATTTCGTTAACAAAAATGATAGGGGTAGTTTATTTCAACCCCTTCCACTCATTTTAAAAGAGTGAAAAATTACCAGAAAGTGTGTTTTCATAACAGTAATGCTTCCATAAAATTTTATTAGTCTATCTCTTTTCGTTTTCAAGATAAAAAATAAAAACATTATTTTTCCGCCATCTTTGTACCGCGATATCTCCCTAATGGTTGACTTTTGACCCAACGTTTATGAAGCAAACTACCCTTTATTTTGAACAAGGAATCGCCCCCTGAAGTTTTTCGCATTTGTTTTGAAACACCCTGTATAATTAGTATATATAATTTTTTTTTCACAAAATTTCACCTTTGCGTCTTTTATTCCGAGGTTCTAACTGAGATGATTTAACTGGCCTAATATACATATACATTTTTTGAACCTGTATAATTCTATTGTTAAATTATTTTTAGAACAGTAATTCTTATTTTTATCAGTCAATTTATTTCTGATTATGAAAAAATCTAGTGACCTTTGCTTTATATATTCTATTCAGAATGGCCGATTGTTCTATAGAATTTTTCTTTGATTTTATAACGATTTGTTTTAATATATTTTTGACTGCATTTTTATAGTGTTTGGTATAATGAGATTTCGAGTGGTTAAACAAATTAAAATTTATTTCGAAAATGTTAAATGCAGTGCAATAACAATAATATACAGTCGGACCACCGTTGTAGTAACATAAGCAGGCGAAAAAATGCGATAAAATAAAAATAGGTAGATATGTGATAAGAATGTCACAGAATTTGTATTTATTCGTGTTTTAATAGCCAAAACGAATACATAGATTCTCGCTACATTAACGAAATTTATTTTTTAAGTAAAATAATGGATGTTTACAAAGTTCGTGAGAAAATTCAAATTGTAAATTGTAAAATGGTATTTCTAAAATAGGTCTTATCGGGATATACAAACAATTTTTCCACAAACTTTTGTAAACAGGCCAATTCCATCTTTACCTACTATATCAAGAGTTATTAATAATTTTGAAACACATGGGTGCCTGTCCCCACAAAAACACAAAAAGCCTGATGTGTTGATTAATGAAGAACAGGAGTTAAAGCAAGTGTTTGGGGTGGTTTTGTAGGGGAGCATATGATTGGTTCATTTTTTATAAAGGGTAATTTAACTGTTGCAAAGTATTTGGACTTGTTACAGCAGCAGATTGTCGCTAGAATTCGTGAGTTATTGGGAGAAACATTCCATAATGTCTGGTTTCAACAAGATGATGGTTGCCCTGCCCACAATACCCGTATTGTTCAAGAATATTTGAACAATACTTTTCCCCATCGTTTAATTAGTGAACATGGAACTATTTTGTGGCCCGCTAGATCACCCGATCTTTCTCCCAATGATTTCTTTTTGTAGGGTTATGTAAAATCCAAAGCATATGGTCATAACAGGGCTAATAATCTGGATGAGCTTCAAGTAAAAATATGAGGGGCTTTCCAAACTATTAGCCCTAATATGTTAGCCAATGTCAGACGGGGATTTTACGACCGCCTGGGCTTCTGTCTAGCACAAGAAGTTGGTCTTTTTGAACACTTGTTATAACTTTTTTTTATTTAGAGTAATATTTTAGTTTTTTTCGGGTTAAGAGAATTTATTTATTTTGGCTTGTAAACACACTCAAATAATAAATATTGAGGTATTTTTATTTTAAATGTTACCTTAAGTGAAGGTAAACACTTAAAATGAAAATAATAAATATAGTCTGTGAAACGAATAACTTTGAATTTGACAGTTCGCGCGGGCTTTTCTAGTGTTAATTTTATTAGGTTAGCAACTTGCGGCCATACTGACGTAACGTTAGCACCAGTTTAAAAATATACACAAACACCACAAACTTAATCCAAGAGAACACTGTAAACGCTATAAAATCAAGAAAATACAATTAGTTAGGTCCATAAATTGAGGAAAACGTAAGATAAACACCAGAAACACTAAGAAAAGCACTATTTTCACGGAACATAACTGCAAGATGCGGCATTAACCTTCAATACGTGTCATATTTAGAAATGTCAAAAGCTGGTGACATTTTACTTTTGACAATAATTATGACATTTCGTGTTGATTTTTGCAAAAAGAGGAAGAACTATCACTTATTTTATTATTTTCATTTTCTATTTCACGAAAGTAAAAAGAGTGACCAATCTGATTCGTTCAGGCACTCAATTTAAAGAAAATCAGTAACTTTTTTGACAGAGGGATTTTATATTTGCCATGTTGGTAAAAAATAACGGTCAAAATTCAAAGTTATTCATTTTATAGACTATACCCGGCACTCCTCGCGTCGTATTTTAGTGTCACGACCGACCCGTCCAAGCACAACTGCAACTGCCTACTGCCTGACCAGCCGACTAGCCGGCAGTGAATCTCTAGTACGAACGCAAATCGGGTTAACGTAAATTCGTCCGGCAACTTGCTATGTTACTAGTAGCCTGGTGTTCTCTGTATGGAGTTATGAGGGGCGTAAAAACTACCCCTACCTCTACGTAAATTTTACTATTAATATTTACCAACTCAACCGGCAACCGATTTTTTTTCGTAAAATGGTCCTTCTAGTATTTACTACATTTTTTCTCTTGTAAAAAAACGCCACCGCACATATTTTTCGGGAAAAATTTGTTTTCGAAGATGCCTTCCAAAAAATATATTTTGTCACGTTAAGCTATGGAGGCACATAAAATCTATTATGCTATTAATAATCTAGGCGAAAATTTGGAATTTTACGTTAGTATTACAAATTATATTTGACTGAAGGATAATAAACTATTTTTTATTGATTCTGGTAGAGTTTTTTATCCTCTTTAATTTTTAATTTTTTTTTTATTTTTGAAATTTTTACAAAGTAGCTTTTTAAATATATTAAGAACGGATATATTGACTTTTAAGTTATTGTCATAGTAGTAGGGTAAATTACATTGATAAATGCAAATCGCATATTCACTAAATGAACTGTCATAACATAATAATAATAATAATAAAGTAAGGTTTAGTTATTTTAGCATTTTGATTTAGCATCTTATAGCATAGTATAAGGAAACTAGTAGCTTTACTCCTTGTCAAATCCTTTGTTATTTTTCTGCCACTTTATATGACCTTGTTCTCGCCTCCCGTGACCACTGACGTAGCTGTATAGTCGTGGTCTATTAACTAGGCAAAGTATAGTCGTGGCACTCGCCATTGTTTCACAGATATGTATTTAGGAAAAAATATGAGTTCACAATAAAATAAAATAAAAAAAATTGATCATCGAGTAAAAACTTGCTTGAAAACAGAATATTTTCACATTTCGTGTAGGTAACAATTCTTCTGCATCTGAAAATTTTCTGATGCGGAAAAAACTATATAATGACATATTTTTATATTATTATCTATTTCACAGATTTTCTACAACTTTTTTCGTTTTTGATTTAAAACAAGTTTAATTTTCTGTAGATAACTGGATTCGGCATAAAATTCTCCATATTCTACACTGTCTTTATTTAAAGCCATTCTAATTCTCTCTCTTATTTACTATAAAGCTTTGGTTAAAAACGTTATATACGAAAAGTGGTAAAAAACTAGAGCGAATAAAACTTTATTAATACTTAGCTATGTTTTCTTAAACATGAAGGATACCAGAATAAATTCGTGTAGAAAAATTTACTTTATCGTATATAGGGTATTTTTTATGGCGTCACCAAAATCGTAATATTTAAAATGTTGTATCTCATTTTTTTTAAATGCAACACCTTGTATATTATTTTTCTTTCAGATGTAGAATTAAAAGGTGAACATTTTTTGTATTTAAAGTGTTTGGTTGTGAAATTTTTAGCCGTTTTGCAAATATTTTCTGTATTTCATTACATATGGGATTTTCAACGATAAAATATCAGACAAAGATCATATTAGGTGGCTTTGCTAAAAATTTACTGTTGAAAGAGCCATATGTAATATAATACTACGAATATCTGCGAAACCGTTAAAATTTAGAAATACTTTAAATAAAAAAAATATTCACTTTTTAATTCTGCATCTGACAGAAAAATAATATACAGAAGGTAGCGTTTAAAAAAATTGAGATATACCATTTTAAATATTCCGATTTTGGTGACGCCATAAAAAATACCCTATATAGAATAATGTATATAGAATGATGTAAAATAATTAAAAAAAATAAAACTAACTTTACCATAACTTTTTTGTGACACCCTGTATATAACAAAATATTTTAGGATACGCCCCTTTATAAACTTTGAAACATGAATAAAAAACTTTTTTCACATCTTCGACAACGACGGCGATATTGGACTTCCTCGCACTAATGGGCCACCCTGTATATTTACGGTGGTTTAAAGCTAGGTGTGGCACTTTTCTTCCCTCAAATATAAACTCAATATTTTGTCTATAATATTTTGAATATTGTTATATTACGACCACTTATAATAAAAATTAAATAAAAAAAAACATAAAAAAATACAGTCCACTAAATTTATAAGAGATTATGCTATTATAAAATTCTTTCAATTAAAAAAATATGATTAATTTGCGGAGACTTTAGATGTACAAAATATTTATTCTAAAATTGTTTCAAAAACCAATCTGCATATATAAATTATCTCGTAAATTAATGGAATTAAAATTTTATGGCAAATCCCCTGACCAAAAAATATTTACATGCGCATATTTGAGACAACCTGTATATCTAAAAAACTATTTGTAAAATCTGCCCACATGCCAAAAAAAATAATAACATTTAATTAATTACATAATATCTCAGCTTCTAAAATAAACAAATATAATTAAACGTTTATTGATAATTACTATCGGCTTGCCGATTTACATCCGATGGAAATCTAAAAAAAACTCAAAGAACAATTTTTTGAATGATTACTACAATTAATAGCAGCATACAGTAAGGCACTCATTTTTTGTCAATCCGTCTCTGTGCTGGAACGCAACGCTCGAACCTCGCAGCTTGATGGACGGAATTCAACTGAAACGCTTTGCAATCTGCCGATATTCGACAGATTGCAAAAACTGGCAGAAAATATTTGCGAGAGTGCAACTACTCTTTTCCTTGAACTATGCTTATAGCTAATGAACCCCCCTCCTTCCTAACTATAGCCTCTCCAACGAGAGAATATATGACAGTAACAACTGTAATTTTAATTTAAAAATGAAGTAAATTCTCTGCACGGTGTAGTTAAGATGGTTTTAATGAGAGTTAATAAAAGCATATGAAAGCATTTTTAAAACTAGTGTAAGTTTACATCTAAACACCTATTCGTATATTATTTTTTAGGGTAAACAACATAGGGAAAAAGCACTTCATGATTTATCGACGCATCTTTCAAATAAATATATCCCATTGAATCGAAACTGGTTGGTACTTTTTCCCGAAGGAGGCTTTCTTAGGAAAAGAAAAGCAATTTCGCACAAGTACGCAGAACAGAATAATTTTCCGAAACTTGAAAATGTGTCTTTACCTCGTGTTGGAGCGCTTAACATAATTATGAACGCTGTAGGACCTAAATCGACCACAAATAATAATTGCAAGAATTATTCTTGCAATAGAACAGGTAACATATTTTTTTGTATTTTTATTATACACGGGTGGCACCTCTGAACGACGCGGTGTGGTCGTTCCAAGGAGAACGCCCAAGTAGCATTTGGACGTTATCTAACGTCGGGTATACGTCGCGTTCAATAAACCCGACGTCGGGTACCAACGTCGGTTCGACCGCCTGACGATCCTTATTTGCACCTAAATGGGGAATACAGATTCGGGTCGCCTCGACGTCGGTATCTGACCATAATAATCCTACCAATTATCAACGTCATATTACGTTGGATTTTAGTCACTTAAAATTCGCCGCTAAGCACTTACGTTACGTTTGGTTTCATATTCGCTACCAAGAATACATAAAAGCCTAACCAAACTACCTAATTACAAATGAATTCATAATCACTCCTCGAATATAACTATAAGTGCCTATCTAATTTCATATTATAATAATTCTGAATCATTAATCCAGACATCAGTTTTGTCAACGGAAGTCACTTTTTTTATATATCTGATTATATAAAAAATACTCCGGAAAACAACGAGCGCCTTCAAAATTAGGTAGATTTATGAAATAAAAATATCTATAGAAAAGTAACTCGCAAAATATTTTTTTAATTTTTTAGCTGGTTTAATCATAAAACTGTACTGTGGTTCCCCCCAAACTGAACCTTATCAATATTATTCTACTAGAAATCGAAATGTGAATATCCCCTGAACACCCTGAAACACCCTGTATACATTCCCCTGTGAAACACCCTGTATACATTTTTTTGAAAAAAAAAAAAAAACTATACTTATGTGTTTAAGCATTTTTTCGGAAACTTGGCCGTTTTTTAAATAAAAAATATTTGTAATATTTGAGGGGTGGTTTCGCCCTCTTGGAACTGGAATTTCGAAAAATCTCTTCTTATCGAACCTCGACACCCTAGAATCAACCTGTATGCCAAAATTGAGCTTCTTACGTTGAGTGGTTTGAACAGGATCGTGATTAAACAGTATGTCAGTCACTTAAGGATTTTATATATTAGTATAGATTATTTTGAGTAGTGTATTTTAATATGACAATTTAGGTAGTAGACTCGGTAGTAGATTAAATATACAAGAAAGAAAAGCCAGAAGAAATCCAATGATTCTCAAAATTTAAGCCAAAAGTCACCTTTTTTAAAATTTTACGGTAAATTAACCTAAAAAAATAACTCGGTTATTTTAGACTTATTTGAAAAACAACGGTAGAGAAAAAAAATTGTTTCTTTTATCGAGATCTACCACCCCTGAAAATATTTGCAATTATTAAGACTCGCCCTGTATATAAAAGATACTAATGAGAACGAATTAGAAAAACATACTGTATTGAAACTATATTTTCAAACTAAAATTTTTTTGGCGTATTGTACCAGATTTGTGATTTAATTAAATAATATTGAGATTAAGTTAGTGATATGATTATTATTATACCGTGCTGGCAACTATTACTTTTGGGTCGGCATTTACATGTGTGGAAGTAAATCGCTAGGGATCTTATTAAGTCGGAGTGAGAGAAATGCGACCGACCAACGCGACGGTGTGCTGTTGCGGCGTTGCCGATACGCCTTTCCCTATCAAGTAAAGTAAAATCTCACGATCGCAAACCGCTTATTTTTAAAAGACTTGTTTTTCAAGAGATAACTAGATAAAACCATTAGACATGTTTCTGAGCATCTGAAATGGAATTATAAGGATATCGTTAGGGTGTAATTTTTTTTATAACGAGAAAACGTCAGTAATCGCGATATTTTAAAAACTCAACTTTTTAACACTTAACAGGCCATAGCTCAAGAACCACTTTAGATATTGAAACTTTTTTTATTTTCAAGATCGGATATTTTACAATATGTTTACATAAGAAAAATTTGATAAGGTTGTTTTTTCCATTCAAAAATTGTAAACAATCCATCCATTTACTTTTAGAGCATAGAAATTTTCAGCAATCGTGTAATTTTTTTATTGATAAAGATTTTCACATACTGTCTACAAAGAAAATACAGCAGAAATATTAACAAAGTTCTTGAAAAAACTGTAATCTATTACTTATAATAGAGTTCTAATAGCGCGACCACTATCGAACACCCACTCAATTCCACTTATTTTTACCAAAAATTTGTTTCTAGCTTGCACTTTAAAAAATTCAAGCTATAGGGAAAATTACAACGACTCGTTCATAAATAAACAAATCAAGTATCATGAAACGTAATTAAATCCTGAAGCTGAACGCATGACGTACACCTTTCCCTAGAACTTTAAGTACTGACAGAGGTATTGATTAGGTCGACCGGTCAACTGCGACAAATCTGCTATATCCCCTTCCACGTCTCTTAGCGATGTGCACAGTTTCTCGGTTTATTTCATACGTTTGGCAACGTGTTTACTGTCCTCTCTTTGTTCAGTACATTATACTCTGCTTACATACGGAAATCTCGATCCAAGACTAACCTTTGCCAGCCCTTAATAGAAGACCGTTAAAAACCATATAGTCAAAAAGTTTTTTAATCACGGAGGTTTTGACTTTGACAGATTAAAATTATTTAATTTTACAGAAGAATGGCTTGTATAAAGGCAGATTTTTTCTTTTCAGAACTGGGTCCAACACAAATTAGTTACGTTTTAGATATAACAATTGCCTATCCAAAAGGCATTCCTATTGATCTTAGTCATATTGTATTTGGTCATAGGACGCCATGCGAAACTGTATTCTTTTATAGACTTTACCGTTCGTCGGAAGTGCCTGAAGAATCTGATGCAATGAGGGACTGGTTATTTAAAAGGTAATGTGATATAGTCCAGGATATAGTCTATAAAATGAATAACTTTGAATTTTGACCGTTATTTTTTACCAACATGGCAAATATAAAATCCCTCTGTCAAAAAATTTACTGATATTCTTTAAATTGAGTGACTGAACGAATCAGATAGGTAACTCTTTTTACTTTCGTGAAATAGAAAAGGAAAATAATAAAACAAGTGATAGCTCTTCCTCTTCTTGCAAAAATCAACACGAAATGTAATAATTGTCAAAAGTAAAATGTCATCAGCTTTTGACATTTCTAAATATTAGACCAATGCCGTCTCTAATAGAACAGCCTCGGAGCGAGATTTATGACGTCACGCTAGTTAGATACTACGGATTAATAAATATGTTGTAGAATACATGGAAAACATAATTATTCCTAGTATTTTTGGTTTGTTTTTTAAAAATGATATAGTTTACATGAAATATACATAATATTGTAATATACATATACTATGGAGTACGATTTCAGCCGTCAATGTAGATAGTTTTAGTGTTAAGAATAATAATTTTAAAAAATATGTGGTCATCCCTTGACAAGTTTATATTAATTTATTATTTGCATTAAACATTATGTGGTGTTTGATTAGGTTGTGAATATTTTATATGTAATTTTTTGGATTATACCCGGCACTTTTTTTTTTCATATGACACAACACTGATGATGGTTATAATGTTAGCCGAAACGTTTTTTTAAACCAAAATAAATAATGAAAAACCAAATGAAAACTTAATCAGCGTTTTTCCCGAACCTAAATCTCAAGAAAATCAAAAGTTTTAGAATAATTTTACATATAAAATGACAGCGATCTTTATTTCATACCTATCGCTGACGCCTTTTTTTCTATGATATTGTATTATTTGCAAATATAATTTTTCGAACATTGATACTTGCAAAATATACATATAAATTTTATGAATGCAAATAATAATACATCACTATTAGTAGATATTGAATGTTTTTTGTTAAATTAGATCGATTTTCAAACCCCAAAATTTAAAATATATTTTACATTTTACCCATTATCTTGTATACCTATTCATTATTTGTATATTGTAAAACATTTGCTACCTTTGTATGGTTCATAGTTTATGTGCCAAATTATTTATTACTATAAATAGGTATATATGTATATTGTATTTATTAACTGTATATTATGTATATTTCATGTAAACTATATGTATATCATTTTTAAAATACAAACCCAAAATACGAGGAATAATTATGTTTTCCATGTATTCTACAACATATTTATTAATCCGTACTATCTAACTAGCGTGACGTCATAAATCTCGACCGAGGCTGTTCTATTAGAGACAGCATTGCGTCAGCATGGCCGCAAGTTGCTAACCTAATAAAATTAACACTAGAAAAGCCCGCGGGAACTGTCAAATTCAAAGTTATTCGTTTCACAGACTATAGCACAGATTAGGTATACTATATGTATACAGATAAAAATCTTATCCGTAATTCGTGGTACGAAAATTGTTTTTTATGACTATGTGCAAACGAGTAAAATTTCCTGTGCGCAAAAATAAACTGGCGTAAAATGACAATAAACAGCGTAATAGAGAGATATCGCTAAACCGAATAGGATGCATGGAACCGTGCATGGACGTTAATAAGGCCAGGTGTCCTTTACGTGAGGTGGTATTAACTCTCTTCATTTATAGTTATCGGATCGGAAAGAATTCTGATCGCGTCGCGTCCGCTATTTAAACTTAACCTAACTTTGAATTTAAAACTTTGAAGTTATTTTGTTTCCTATGTATTTTAAAACTAAAGGGCTAAAGTGCTTATTTCCAGTGCTTTATTGTTCAACGTCTGCCAGTGGGTTTAGGGCAACAAGCAACAAATTCTCTTAGAAGGGTTAAGTCGTCATCTGCTGTAAACCTAAGCCTCTTTATAGGTTCTTTAATGTGGGAAGAGGTGGAATCCATATTTTAGGCCATATTTATTTAATTAAAACTAATCCCAGCTACTTAAATATCAAATTACCTAATAAAACTAAAGTAATAATTCAAAACAATTCAAACATAACCTAAAATAAAAGATCTCGCCGGCCGGCCCCGGTTGTCAAATACCCGCACATGCCCATTTAAGCAATTTTTAAACGTTATTTAGAAATAGCGCTTGGTGTAATTCATAGAATAACTAACTGAAAGAAATGAAAAGTCCTATGTTAAAGCTTGGAAACACGCGCTCGCCGCGATCCAAGCGGGCTACTGGCAGAACTAAAGGTTCGCGCCATATTTATAAATGGACCTTTACTGCCAGTTCATAAGTTTTTTACTTATATTTGGTAATTTCAATCTTGATTATTAATTTATTTGTAACAAAACATTTACAAAATAAAAATAATGTATTTTGATACAAATAAATTAATAATCTAGATTGAAATTATCCCTGAAATTAGAATAAAACACGATAAATTTGTAACTTGATTATTTTATTATAACATTTCTTAATAAAAATACATATAACACATTCAATACCATACAAGTATATATAAAAGTTATCAGAATTTATACGATCAGTTATAAATAATTATAAAAAAAGGTTATAAATTATAATTAAATAAATCCTTATATAAAAGGCATATTAGTTAACGTGTATCTAATTTGGTATAACTTTAATCTAAACTTTAATAACCTATTCAAATAGAAACATCTTACAATTCGCGTTGTATAATACAGAAAGTAAAGGGACAAATTTGTTAGTAAATCTATTCCCCATGACCCGAAACATTTTTTTACAAACAAAACAGGACATATAAAGTTTATCAATAATACAAGTGTATAGAAAATGTATAAATAAGTAAATAAAAATATATTTTCAAACTAAATGATTAATGATTATACTCGTTTAAATAAATAAATAATCTTTTAAAAATTACTTGTTTGTCTTCGCAAATTTGTATATTTCATATTTATTTAAAACCGTACCCTTACCCTTAAAATTACTGCACAACCTTAAAAATTAAGCTTTTAATATGAAATGTTATACAAGTTCTTGATTCGATCCTCATTTAAATAAAACTTTAAATTGATATTCTAAATTTCTGAGACAGCCATTTTGTTGAAAGAATTTGTTTTGATTATGAGAAATTTCATAAAAATTATCACAGGGATTAATTAATCTTATATATTGAACTTGGCTTTTAAATTTCACAATCCTATCGTCCAAAATACTCTAAATTCGCGAAGATCCGTAAAATATTCCCATAAAAACAAATCACAATTCACTTTCACTTTAGAATCTGACAGGCTGGCCAAATATGGAATGACGGTTACTTTTCAATTTATTTTATTAATCTAACTGATCCGGCTCACTTAGAAATTAAATTTTTGTTAAATTATTTAATTATAATTGTTTCTGGCGAAAGCAACTTCATACCAATATTTGTTGATAAGGTAACAAAGCACATCACTGTTAAATTATCAACATTTTATATAAATATTTCTATTTTTCAACTACTCCAACTACTCCAATTACTCCACAGAGAATCAAACGAATTTGTTAATTAAACTATACTCTATGGATAACTTGATTAAATCATGATGAAATTAAAGTCCCTAGATGAATATCTAGGGACTTTAGATGAAATTTCTACGCAGCGCCATCTATCCCTCTACTGGCAAGAACTCCGCCGTGTTTCCAAAATTCAAATGGCAGTTTCATCCGCCTGTTGTAATTGATCCGCAAATTACGTCAGGCGGTAACGTTATTAGCGGGTGTTGCGTTAAAAATTGACTCGCGCATATCGTAACCATGATAAGGTACGCGTAAATACTGTATGACGCTATTCGGTTTTCCGATATCTCTCTAATAACTGTGCCGGTCAGGCGCTGTGCACAATTTTAGAGGCCATAAGTGGGCGTGCTATGTGCGCAAACTAGTAACCTAACTAGTGCCCGATTCCGAAAATTGGAACCACGAAAAACTATAAAGAAAAAACAAAGTTTATAATCTGTATGATCTGTGGTAATAATTTCTTAACTATCTTAAAATTTTCGATTTTACATTTTGTTCGAATGGTTTTTAATAGATCTATCCTATATATTTATACTTTTTTTTATTATTTATTTTATATTGTTTGTAAACTTATTGAATTAAGTAATTAATTTTTATTCTCTAACCTTTTACAAACATTACAATCTCGAAATTATATACATGTTATCTTCTAAACTATATTTAAATGTAGGTTTTTCTTATTGCAGTAATAATTTACGTTTTCGATGTGATGGGGGAATGTCTTGATCCTATTTTAGAATCTCTATCTATTTTTGTGAGTGAGATCTTAAGACTGGAGCTTACTATTTTGTTATATGTACCAATAGATGATATTTTTTTTAATTTCAGATGGGTAGAAAAAGAACGAATGCTACAGAGTTATTACGATACGGGCGAAATGTCAACAGAGTTCAGCCGCACAAAAGTCTACAAACCAAAATTAGTGGTACAAGATAACTTAAGGTTTCTTATTTTACACTTATTCTTTGTTATATCGAGTTATGTGCACGTGAGGATGTTTTTCGCAGTGTATTATTCTTGTATGCATTATTTGGTTTATTAGCATTGTGAAATTCCATATTTGATTTATTTAGTGATGTATTATATGTGAGATTTTAATGAAAGAACTAGCAAAACACAGACCTTTTTCAGTGTTTCCGGGTTGTGAAAAGTCTGACTCCATTTAGGATTACCAACGCATTATTTTATTACTAGATTGATTGTTTCACATAACATATATTGTTTCAGAGCTTTCTTGTTACTTATGTACAGAGAAATGTTAAAACAAATAATCTTACAAATTGAATATCTTCAAAAAATATTTTTAATTGTATGAAATGTATATATCAGTATTAATAAACTATTTTATAGAGGTAGTTAATGTGACTTCAGGTATTACACTAGTATTGAAAGTAATTGTAATATGTTTTGAAGTTCTCTGTTTATTAAGAGACAATGTCGATGCTATAACAATATACCGGGTGTTGCATCGTCGGACGGGACATAGGAAATCCCATGTAAATTTTAATGGGGTCAATTATTGGCTTCCCTAATTATTTTAGAGAATAATTCTATTTAGGTTTATTGAAGAGCACTAAAACCCACATTCAAAAGAATAACTTTAGATATTTTTGATTAGCTCGTTTACGAGTTATCGCCGATTTCTTTTTAAATATTTCTCCTTTCTTATGGCCCTGTATTTACTTAAGAGCACCAGTCAAGGTAAAAGATAACTGTCAAATGAAGTTGTCACTTCAGAAATTTACCTATTTAGTGCTTTATTATTATTGAAAACTCATTCCTACATCGGATATATCTTAAAGATGTATTTATAAATACCAATTAATATGAATTAAAGTAAAATAAAGTAACCAATTAAAAGGTTAATTATAGTATTATTACAATATTCGATAACTTATTAATTTAGGTACTATTAAATTGTTAGAACTTTAGGATTTAAGATGTTGAAATATTCCTCCATCGACTGCTAGACAATAACCCAGGCGATCATAAAATTCTCTTCTTACATTCGCTAGTTGGTAAACTGAAATTCTATTGCATTTCGGCAGAAATAGCATTTTTAACTCGTCTAGATTTGGGTATTTTTTATCCTTGTATATCCTGTTTTAAAATGGCCCCAGAGAAGAAATCATTTGGCGAAATATCAGGAGACCTTGCTGGCCAATTTACTGTATGATTTAGGCCAATAACGTTTCCGTTAAAACTTGTCTAAATATTCCCGAACAGCCAGGGTACTATGTGCCGGGCAGCCATCCATTTGGTACCAAACTTCCTGATTTTCCCTAGCGGCATCATGTAGAGCAGGTAAAATATGATTTTCGAGTAGTTCCAAATAATATTCTGCATTTAATTTCGCGTAAGAAATAATGGCCCGATAATATTGTGTCCGAATATCCCTGCCCAAACATTTACTTTCTGTGGATATTGCGTCCTTGTTTCGACAAACCTGTGTTGGTTTTTTTTGTTCCAATATCGATAATTTTGAACATTGGGTTCATTATTTAAGGTAAACGTGCATTCGTCAGTGAAACATATTTTTTAAAAAATTCCCTATCCGTATTTGCTCTTTCCATCATATCAAAACAAAACGCCTGCCGCCGTATTTCGTCCCTATCTCGTAGTTCTTGGTGCTTTTCATATTTGAAGGAATAGTATTTACAGTACGTCTGTTCGTTCTGTAGCTACGGGGTATCCGTGAGAGGGGAAACGATATTCTCTCGATGTTTTTCGTAAAAAAATAGACGACGCGTCCCATCAATAAAAATTCAACAAATTTGCAAGTAGCCAATAAAATGAGTGGGCGGAGCGATTTTCGGTGACGTACTCGTTAAAATTCGAAAAGCTGTAGTGTGATCTATTCCTATTTCATCCTCAAGTTTCCTTGTGCTGATCTTTCCATCGTTCTCTTCCACGCACAATAAAACTTCCAAGTCGGTATCATTTCTTGCATCTTCTCTTTGTTCCTGCCTTGCTTCACATCTGCAGTTATTTATTAGGGTACCTTTGGTCTCAAATCTCTGGATATTCCTTGCGATTGTAGATTTTCCAGATATCGGTCTATTCGGATACAGAGCAGCAAACATGTCCGACACCTTTGATAACTATTTCCTTGATAATACCATTTAATCATCAATACTTTTTCTTCGGTAGTGTAATTCATTGCTAATATTTTCGATGTAGGTATGAGTTTTTAATAATAATAATAAAGCACTAAATAGATAAATTTCTGAAATGGCAACTTCATTTGACAGTTATCTTATACCTTGACTGGTGCTCATAAGTAAATACAGGGCCATAAGAAAGGAGAAATGTTTAAAAAGAAATCGGCGATAACTCGTAAACGGGCTAATCAAAAATATCTAAAGTTATTCTTTTAAATGTGGGTTTTAGTGCTCTTCAATAAACCTAAATAGAATTATTCTCTAAAATAATTAGGGAAGCCAATAATTGACCCCATTAAAATTTACATGGGATTTCCTATGTCCCGCTCGACAATGCAACACCGGGTATATAATATTTTGGCATTAAAACAGTGTGAGCCAGAGGTTTATGAAACACATTCATAATGATTCTATTAAGATACAAGTCTTTTTAACCAATAAAATTATACACTTGTATTTAAAGAAGTATATGTCCTGTATATTTTTAGCGACTGACAAAGAGCAAATTTCATGTATATAAGTATTTTTGGTTAGATAAATTTATTAAATGAAGACATACTGAGGAATATGTTGCGATGGGCATTATCATATAATTACCTAAAAAAAATATTTTTCTGTCATACAAGGTACTTTTATCATATTTTACATATTGCATAGAAATGTTTTTAGACAAAGATGGGCACAATTATATTTAACTAATATCTATATAATTATCTTGGATTTCTTAAAATATAAAGTTAGAATTACTATAACTTCTTCTATATTACGACAGCTATCGTTATAATTAAAAATGAAGCTAATCTGGGCATTCTATCAGTTGATAAGACCCTTGTTTATTTTTAAACAAGGAAATAAAAGTTTAAAAATAAACTTATACATTTTATTTAAACTAAAACTGTGTTAATAAAAATATTTTCTGAAGTTAGATGTTTATATTTTAGGTAATAAAATGTTTAGATAAAGGAAGCTGTAAAGCACCATGTTTTGTGTTGAAATTTTTTTAAGTAATTTTTAATTTAATATTGTAAATTAGCTTAGTAATACTATAATATTAAATTGATATAAATATTTTTCACATGAATGTATATATTACAACATTGACTTATTTGAGTATTTGCTAATTGAAAAAATAATATTATTTTATTAATATATTGTGTGTCTTATTAGGGAGTAAACCTTGTATCAGGCTGAGTAATAGCTTTCCAAAGGAGCCAACATTTTCAATTTACTTTTTTTCCTATCTTCTTTATCCAATTGAACCATCATTTCTTTATTTCTCGTGATTTAGATCATTTAAAAACCTGGGGTAATATTTCTAAATTTCCTTAGTGAAAAATCTGCAAAAATGTAAATTAGTCAAAAATAAATGGTATAAAATTGTGTGTATATACTATTACCTACTAATTATAGTCCTTGTATGATTTTTGTTACTGTCTGAATGAAATTACAGTTAGGTTTAGGTAATGTATCTACAAGTAATATGTGCTTAATTTGGATGGCAGAATACCCTGTAGGAGTGCTGATTATTGTTTGGTTTGCAGGGGAAACTTTGACAAATTAATTGATATAACAGGCTGAGTAATAACTTTCCAAACGAGCCAACATTTTCGATTTACTTTTTTTTCCTATCTTCTTTATCCAATATGAGCCATCATTTCTTTATTTCTCAAGTGATTTAGATCGTTTAATAACCGGGGGTAATATTTCCAAATTTCCTTAGTGAAAAATCTGCAAAAATGTAAATTAGTCAAAAATAAATGGTATAAAATTGTGTGTATATACTATTACCTACTAATTATAGTCCTTGTATGATTTGTTACTGTCTATATGATATTACACTTAGGTAATGTATCTACAAGTGATATGTGCTAAATTTGGATGGCAGAATACCCTGTAGGAGTTCTGATTATTGTTTGGTTTGCAGGGGAAACTTTGGCAAATTAATTGATATATCAGGCTGAGTAATAATTTTCCAAAGGAGCCAACATTTTCGATTTACTTTTTTTTCCTATCTCCTTTATCCAATATGAGCCATCATTTCTTTATTTTTCAAGTGATTTAGATCATTTAATAACCTGGGGTAATATTTCTAAATTTCCTTAGTGAAAAATCTGCAAAAATGTAAATTAGTCAAAAATAAATGGTATAAAATTGTGTGTATATACTATTACCTACTAATTATAGTCCTTGTATGATTTCTTACTGTCTGAATGATATTATACTTAGGTTTAGGTAATGTATCTACAAGTGATATGTGCTTAATTTGGATGGCAGAGTACCCTGTAGGAGTGCTGATTATTGTTTGGTTTGCAGGGGGAACTTTGACAAATTAATTGATATAACAGGCTGAGTAATAACTTTCCAAACGAGCCAACATTTTTCGATTTACTTTTTTTTTCCCTATCTCTTTATCCAATATGAGCCATCATTTCTTTATTTCTCAAGTGATTTAGATCGTTTAATAACCAGGGGTAATATTTCCAAATTTCCTTAGTGAAAAATCTTGAAAATGTAAATTAGTCAAAAATAAATGGTATAAAATTGTGTGTATATACTATTACCACCACTAATTATAATAGTCCTTGTATGATTTATTTATATCTATATGATATTACACTTAGGTAATGTATCTACAAGTGATATGTGCTAAATTTGGATGGCAGAATACCCTGGAGTTCAAGTGCATTTGGTTCAGGGAAACTTGTAGAATTAATTGATATATCAGGCTGGAATAATAATTTTCAAAGATAACATTTTTCGATTGCTTTCCTATCTCCTTTATCAATATGAATATCATTTCTTTATTTCTCAAGTGATTTAGATCGTTTAATAACCGGGGGTAATATTTCTAAATTTCCTTAGTGAAAAATCTGCAAAAATGTAAATTAGTCAAAAATAAATGGTATAAAATTGTGTGTATATACTATTACCTACTAATTATAGTCCTTGTATGATTTGTTACTGTCTATATGATATTACACTTAGGTAATGTATCTACAAGTGATATGTGCTAAGAATTTGGATGGCAGGAGAATACCCTGTAGGAGTTCTGATTATTGTTTGGTTTGCAGGGGAAACTTTGCAAAATTAATTGATATATCAGGCTGAGTAATAATTTTCCAAAGACCAACATTTTCGATTTACTTTTTTTCCTATCTCCTTTATCAATATGAGCCATCATTTCTTTATTTTCAAGTGATTTAGATCATTTAATAACCTGGGGTAATATTTCTAAATTTCCTTAGTGAAAAATCTGCAAAAATAATAAATTAGTCAAAAATAAATGGTATAAAATTGTGTGTATATACTATTACCTACTAATTATAGTCCTTGTATGATTTGTTACTGTCTGAATGATATTATACTTAGGTTTAGGTAATGTATCTACAAGTGATATGTGCTTAATTTGGATGGCAGAGTACCCTGTAGGAGTGCTGATTATTGTTTGGTTTGCAGGGGGAACTTTGACAAATTAATTGATATATCAGTCCGAGTAATAACTTTCCAAAGGAGCCAACATTTTCGATTTACTTTTTTTTCCTATCTCCTTTATCCAATATGAGCCATCATTTCTTTATTTTTCAAGTGATTTAGATCATTTAATAACCTGGGGTAATATTTCTAAATTTCCTTAGTGAAAAATCTGCCAAAAATGTAAAATTAGTCAAAAATAAATGTATAAAATTACATGCTGCATATACTATTACCTACTAATTATAGTCCTTGTATGATTTCTTACTGTCTGAATGATATTTTACTTAGGTTTAGGTAATGTATCTACAAGTGATATGTGCTTAATTTGGATGGCAGAGTACCCTGTAGGAGTGCTGATTATTGTTTGGTTTGCAGGGGGAACTTTGACAAATTAATTGATATATCAGGCTGAGTAATAACTTTCCAAAGGAGCCAACATTTTCGATTTACTTTTTTTCCTATCTTCTTTATCCAATATGAGCCATCATTTCTTTATTTCTCAAGTGATTTAGATCATTTAATAACCTGGGGTAATATTCCTAAATTTCCTTAGTGAAAAATCTGCAAAAATGTAAATTAGTCAAAAATAAATGGTATAAAATTGTGTGTATATACTATTACCTACTAATTATAGTCCTTGTATGATTTGTTACTGTTTGAATGATATTATACTTAGGTTTAGGTAATGTATCTACAAGTGATATGTGCTTAATTTGGATGGCAGAATACCCTGTAGGAGTGCTGATTATTGTTTGGTTTGCAGGGGAAACTTTGACAAATTAATTGATATATCAGGCTGAGTAATAACTTTCCAAAGGAGCCAACATTTTCGATTTACTTTTTTTTCCTATCTTCTTTATCCAATATGAGCCATCATTTCTTTATTTCTCAAGTGATTTAGATCATTTAATAACCTGGGGTAATATTCCTAAATTTCCTTAGTGAAAAATCTGCAAAAAATGTAAATTAGTCAAAAATAAATGCTATAAAATTGTGTGTATATACTATTACCTACTAATTATAGTCCTTGTATGATTTGTTACTGTCTGAATGATTACTTAGGTTTAGGTAATGTATCTACAAGTGATATGGCCTTAATTTGGATGGCAGAATACCCTGTACAGGAGTTCTGATTATTGTTTTTGGTTTGCAGGGGAAACTTTGACAAATTAATTGATATATCAGGCTGAGTAATAACTTTCAAAGGAGCCAACATTTTTCGATTTTACTTTTTTTTCCTATCTTCTTTATCCAATATGAGCCATCATTTCTTTATTTTCTCAAGTGATTTAGATCATTTAATAACCTGGGGTAATATTTCTAAATTTCCTTAGTGAAAAATCTGCAAAAATGTAAATTAGTCAAAAAATATATGGTATAAAATTATTGTGTATATACTATTACCTACTAATTATAGTCCTTGTATGATTTTTGTTACTGTCTGAATGAAATTACAGTTAGGTTTAAGTAATGTATCTACAAGTGATATGTGCTTAATTTGGATGGCAGAATACCCTGTAGGAGTGCTGATTATTGTTTGGTTTGCAGGGGAAACTTTGACAAATTAATTGATATATCAGGCTGAGTAATAACTTTCCAAAGGAGCCAACATTTTCGATTTACTTTTTTTCCTATCTTCTTTATCCAATATGAGCCATCATTTCTTTATTTCTCAAGTGATTTAGATCATTTAATAACCTGGGGTAATATTTCTAAATTTCCTTAGTGAAAAATCTGCAAAAATGTAAATTAGTCAAAAATAAATGGTATAAAATTGTGTGTATATACTATTACCTACTAATTATAGTCCTTGTATGATTTCTTACTGTCTGAATGATATTATACTTCTAGGTTTTAGGTAATGTATCTACAAGTGATATGCTTAATTTGGATGGCAGAGTACCCTGTAGGAGTGCTGATTATTGTTTGGTTTGCAGGGGGAACTTTGACAAATTAATTGATATATCAGGCTGAGTAATAACTTTCCAAAGGAGCCATCATTTCTTTATTTCTCAAGTGATTTAGATCATTTAATAACCTGGGATAATATTTCTAAATTTCCTTAGTGAAAAATCTGCAAAAATGTAAATTAGTCAAAAATAAATGGTATAAAATTGTGTGTATATACTATTACCTGCTAATTATAGTCCTTGTATGATTTCTTACTGTCTGAATGATATTATACTTAGGTTTAGGTAATGTATCTACAAGTGATATGTGCTTAATTTGGATGGCAGAGTACCATGTAGGAGTGCTGATTATTGTTTGGTTTACAGGGGGAACTTTAACAAATTAATTGATATATCAGGCTGAGTAATAACTTTCCAAAGGAGCCATCATTTCTTTATTTCTCAAGTGATTTAGATCATTTAATAACCTGGGGTAATATTCCTAAATTTCCTTAATGAAAAATCTGCAAACATGTAAATTAGTCAAAAATAAATGGTATAAAATTGTGTGTATATACTATTACCTACTAATTATAGTCCTTGTATGATTTGTTACTGTTTGAATGATATTATACTTAGGTTTAGGTAATGTATCTACAAGTGATATGTGCTTAATTTGGATGGCAGAATACCCTGTAGGAGTTCTGATTATTGTTTGGTTTGCAGGGGGAACTTTGACAAATTAATTGATATATCAGTCTGAGTAATGACTTTCCAAAGGAGCCAACATTTTCGATTTACTTTTTTTTCCTATCTCCTTTATCCAATATGAGCCATCATTTCTTTATTTTCAAGTGATTTAGATCATTTAATAACCTGGGGGTAATATTTCTAAATTTCCTTAGTGAAAATCTGCAAAAATGAAAATTAGTCAAAAAATAAATAAGTATAAAATTATTGTGTATATACTATTCACCTACTAATTATAGTCCTTGTATGATTTGTTACTGTCTGAATGATATTATACTTGGGTTTAAGTAATGTATCTACAAGTGATATGTGCTTAATTTGGATGGCAGAATACCCTGTAGGAGTGCTGATTATTGTTTGGTTTGCAGGTGAAACTTTGACAAGGTGGAATTGATATATCAGGCTGAGGTAATAACTTTCCAAAGGAGCCAACATTTTCGATTTACTTTTTTCCTATCTTCTTTATCCAATATGAGCCATCATTTCTTTATTTTTCAAGTGATTTAGATCATTTAATAACCTGGGGTAATATTCTAAATTTCCTTAGTGAAAAATCTGCAAAAAAAAAAATGTAAATTAGTCAAAAATAAATGAGTATAAAATTGTGTGTATATACTATTACCTACTAATTATAGTCCTTGTATGATTTCTTACTGTCTGAATGATATTATACTTAGGTTTAGGTAATGTATCTACAAGTGATATGTGCTTAATTTGGATGGCAGAGTACCCTGTAGGAGTGCTGATTATTGTTTGGTTTGCAGGGGGAACTTTGGCAAATTAATTGATATATCAGGCTGAGTAATAACTTTCCAAAGGAGCCAACATTTTCGATTTACTTTTTTTCCTATCTTCTTTATCCAATATGAGCCATCATTTCTTTATTTCTCAAGTGATTTAGATCATTTAATAACCTGGGGTAATATTTCTAAATTTCCTTAGTGAAAATCTGCAAAAAATGTAAATTAGTCAAAAATAAATGGTATAAAATGTGTGTGTATATACTATTACCTACTAATTATAGTCCTTGTATGATTTGTTACTGTCTGGATGATATTTATACTTAGGTTTAAGTAATGTATCTACAAGTGATATGTGCTTAATTTGGATGGCAGAATACCCTAATAGGAGTTCTGATTATTGTTTGGTTTGCAGGGGAAACGTTGACAAATTAATTGATATATCAGACTGAGTAATAACTTTCCAAAGACCCAACATTTTCGATTTACTTTTTCTATCTTCTTCTTTATCCAATATGAGCCATCATTTCTTTATTTTTCAAGTGATGTAGATCATTTAATAACCTGGGGTAATATTTCTAAATTTCCTTAGTGAAAAATCTGCAAAAATGTAAATTAGTCAAAAATAAATGGTATAAAATTGTGTGTATATACTATTACCTACTAATTATAGTCCTTGTATGATTTGTTACTGTCTGAATGATATTATACTTAGGTTTAAGTAATGTATCTACAAGTGATATGTGCTTAATTTGGATGGCAGAATACCCTGTAGGAGTTCTGATTATTGTTTGGTTTGCAGGGGAAACTTTGACAAATTAATTGATATATCAGGCTGAGTAATAACTTTCCAAAGGAGCCAAGATTTTCGATTTACTTTTTTTTCCTATCTTCTTTATCCAATATGAGCCATCATTTCTTTATTTCTCAAGTGATTTAAATCAGTTAATAACCTGGGGTAATATTTCTAAATTTCCTTAGTGAAAAATCTGCAAAAATGTAAATTAGTCAAAAATAAATGGTATAAAATTGTGTGTATATACTATTACCTACTAATTATAGTCCTTGTATGATTTCTTACTGTCTGAACAGATATTATACTTAGGTTTAGGTAATGTATCTACAAGTGATATGTGCTTAATTTGGATGGCAGAGTACCCTGTAGGAGTGCTGATTATTGTTTGGTTTGCAGGGGGAACTTTGGCAAATTAATTGATATATCAGGCTGAGTAATAACTTTCCAAAGGAGCCAACATTTTCGATTTACTTTTTTTCCTATCTTCTTTATCCAATATGAGCCATCATTTCTTTATTTCTCAAGTGATTTAGATCATTTAATAACCTGGGGTAATATTTCTAAATTTCCTTAGTGAAAAATCTGCAAAAATGTAAATTAGTCAAAAATAAATGGTATAAAGTTGTGTGTATATACTATTACCTTCTAATTATAGTCCTTGTATGATTTGTTACTGTCTATATGATATTATACCTACTTGGAAGTAATGTATCTACAAAGTGATATGTGCTTAATTTGGATGGCAGAATACCCTGTAGGAGTGCTGATTATTGGTTGGTTTGCAGGGGAAATTACACGACAAATTAATTGATATATCAGGCTGAGTAATAACTTTCCAAAGAGCCAACATTTTCGATTTACTTTTTTCCTATCTTCTTTATCCAATATGAGCCATCATTTTCTTTATTTCTCAAGTGATTTAGATCATTTAATAACCTGGGGTAATATTTCTAAATTTCCTTGAGTGAAAAATCTGCAAAAATGTAAAATTAGTCAAAAATAAATGGTATAAAATTGTGTGTATATACTATTACCTACTAATTATAGATCCTTTTATGATTTGTTACTGTCTGAATGATATTATACTTAGAGTTTAGGTAATGTATCTACAAGTGATATGTGCTTAATTTGGATGGCAGAGTACCCTGTAGGAGTGCTGATTATTGTTTGGTTTGCAGGGGAACTTTGGCAAATTAATTGATATATCAGGCTGAGTAATAACTTTCCAAAGGAGCCAACATTTTCGATTTACTTTTTTCCTATCTTCTTTATCCAATATGAGCCATCATTTCTTTATTTCTCAAGTGATTTAGATCATTTAATAACCTGGGGGTAATATTTCTAAATTTCCTTAGTGAAAAATCTGCAAAAATGTAAATTAGTCAAAAATAAATGGTATAAAGTTGTGTGTATATACTATTACCTTCTAATTATAGTCCTTGTATGATTTGTTACTGTCTATATGATATTATACCTACTTAGGTAATGTATCTACAAGTGATATGTGCTTAATTTGGATGGCAGAATACCCTGTAGGAGTGCTGATTATTGGTTGGTTTGCAGGGGAAATTTTGACAAATTAATTGATATATCAGGCTGAGTAATAACTTTCCAAAGGAGCCAACATTTTCGATTTACTTTTTTTCCTATCTTCTTTATCCAATATGAGCCATCATTTCTTTATTTCTCAAGTGATTTAGATCATTTAAAAACCTGGGGTAATATTTCTAAATTTCCTTAGTGAAAAATCTGCAAAAATGTAAATTAGTCAAAAATAAATGGTATAAAATTGTGTGTATATACTATTACCTTCTAATTATAGTCCTTGTATGATTTGTTACTGTCTATATGATATTATACCTACTTAGGTAATGTATCTACAAGTGGTATGTGCTTAATTTGGATGGCAGAATACCCTGTAGGAGTTCTGATTATTGTTTGGTTTGCAGGGGAAACTTTGACAAATTAATTGATATATCAGGCTGAGTAATAACTTTCCAAAGGAGCCAACATTTTCGATTTACTTTTTTTCCTATCTTCTTTATCCAATATGAGCCATCATTTCTTTATTTCTCAAGTGATTTAGATCATTTAATAACCTGGGGTAATATTTCTAAATTTCCTTAGTGAAAAATCTGCAAAAATGTAAATTAGTCAAAAATAAATGGTATAAAATTGTGTGTATATACTATTACCTACTAATTATAGTCCTTGTATGATTTGTTACTGTCTGAATGATATTATACTTAGGTTTAGGTAATGTATCTACAAGTGATATGTGCTTAATTTGGATGGCAGAGTACCCTGTAGGAGTGCTGATTATTGTTTGGTTTGCAGGGGGAACTTTGGCAAATTAATTGATATATCAGGCTGAGTAATAACTTTCCAAAGGAGCCAACATTTTCGATTTACTTTTTTTTCCTATCTTCTTTATCCAATATGAGCCATCATTTCTTTATTTCTCAAGTGATTTAGATCATTTAATAACCTGGGGTAATATTTCTAAATTTCCTTAGTGAAAAATCTGCAAAAATGTAAATTAGTCAAAAATAAATGGTATAAAATTGTGTGTATATACTATTACCTTCTAATTATAGTCCTTGTATGATTTGTTACTGTCTATATGATATTATACCTACTTAGGTAATGTATCTACAAGTGATATATTAACTTAATTTGGATGGCAGAATACCCTGTAGGAGTGCTGATTATTGGTTGGTTTGCAGGGGAAATTTTGACAAATTAATTGATATATCAGGCTGAGTAATAACTTTCCAAAGGAGCCAACATTTTCGATTTACTTTTTTTCCTATCTTCTTTATCCAATATGAGCCATCATTTCTTTATTTCTCAAGTGATTTAGATCATTTAATAACCTGGGGTAATATTTCTAAATTTCCTTAGTGAAAAATCTGCAAAAATGTAAATTAGTCAAAAATAAATGGTATAAAATTGTGTGTATATACTATTACCTACTAATTATAGTCCTTTTATGATTTGTTACTGTCTGAATGATATTATACTTAGGTTTAGGTAATGTATCTACAAGTGATATGTGCTAAATTTGGATGGCCGAATACCCTGTAGGAGTTCTGATTATTGTTTGGTTTGCAGGGGAAACTTTGACAAATTAATTAATATATCAGGCTGAGTAATAACTTTCCAAAAGAGCCATCATTTCTTTATTTCTCAAGTGATTCAGATCATTTAATAACCTGGGGTAATATTCCTAAATTTACTTAGTGAAAAATCTGCAAACATGTAAATTAGTCAAAAATAAATGGTATAAAATTGTGTGTATATACTATTACCTACTAATTATAGTCCTTGTATGATTTGTTACTGTCTGAATGATATTATACTTAGGTTTAGGTAATGTAACTACAAGTGATATGTGCTTAATTTGGATGGCAGAATACCCTGTAGGAGTGTTGATTATTGTTTGGTTTGCAGGGGAAACGTTGACAAATTAATTGATATATCAGACTGAGTAATAACTTTCCAAAGGAGCCAACATTTTCGATTTACTTTTTTTTCCTAGCTTCTTTATCCAATATGAGCCATCATTTCTTTATTTCTCAAGTGATTTAGATCATTTAAAAACCTGGGGTAATATTTCTAAATTTCCTTAGTGAAAAATCTGCAAAAATGTAAATTAGTCAAAAATAAATGGTATAAAATTGTGTGTATATACTATTACCTACTAATTATAGTCCTTGAGTGATTTAGATCGTTTAATAACCGGGGGTAATATTTCCAAATTTCCTTAGTGAATAATCTGCAAAAATGTCAATTATTCAAAAATAAATGGTAAAAAACTGTATATACTATTACCTAGCAATTATAGTTCTTGTATTATTTGCCACTGGTCTGAATCATATTATATTTAATGTATATACAATAATTCACAATTTCTACACTTGATTGTCTGTTGTACTAAAAGAAATAATAAAACATATTAAATAATTTTTTTTAAACTTGTATACCTAATTAAACATATGAAGCATATTATATTAAACTCTATGAAATGTAGAAAATACAAAGTAAGAAATAACCACAGAATAATTTTAAGGAAAGTATAAGAATATTAGATAAAAATGTACCTTTTTACAGTATTTTTCGAAAGTTCTTATTGAATATTTATACTTGGACACATACAACACAATTTACAATATTTACAAGTTATAATACATGGTTTATCTGACTGGAACACTAAAACAGAAAAATGTAGGTAATAAATAAAAAGGAAACGTTTTCTAATCCAGTGTGAGTTCCTTATAAATGCAAAACATTTATATGGGAAGTAACTAGAGATGGGCAAAGATTGAACGAGTCGTTCATTCGAACGAGTATTAAAAATGAATCGTGAGATTCGATTTACTGCTTAGAATACGGTTCGTTCAATTGAATCGTGGCCAACACGGATCAATGAAATATCAACGATGAGCCGTAAAAAAGAGTCGTAAGAATTGAATCGGATCACAATGCGACTTGTTTGGATTATAGAGAATTGAGTCGATATTTTATTTTTCAATCACATTATTATTAACTGCTAAGTGTATTGCTCGGTGTGTATGAAAATTTAGAAAAGATAGACATATTTAGCATGTGCGGTTCTCGTCATGGTAACCCAAGTCTAATATACAGGGTGTTTCAAAAAACATGTGCCATATATCGTGGGGAAATTCCCCATGTAAAAATAACATTTATTTTTCATATCAACATAGGTCCGATTCCGCTTTGTTTCGTAGCTACAGGGTGTTAAAATCTTAATATTTTTTTGATTCATAATTTTTTCATTTTGATTTATAATTTTTTTCTAATTACTTTTATTATTTCGAATGAAATTTTGAGGGTAAAAGTTGCTATAAATCCGACATATTTTGAAGTTAAAAAAGTGTTGACATATTCACCAGGGACGTGCATATCGGGGTTATCACTGGAATATTTTTCTAAATAAAGCATGTACGCCACTGACTTTTTTTTATCCTGCTAGCAAAAAAGTTGTCTCTTGATATTTTCTCGATTTCGGCCTCCTTGATGAGATAACCTCAATTTTATTAATTTGCCTTGATCCAAGTCTAACAGCAACATTTAAAAAAATAATATCATTAACTTGCGAAAGTTTCAAATAAGTACTCATTGGTTCCTTATCAAAAAAATAGAAAAAAAAGTTCCTATGAACATGGGCATGGAAACTAAACCTTTTTAAAATTAGGTTTTTTGTAATAATCTTAAATACCATTATTTTTCTATTTGAAATTGTTGTTTGTTGGACTAATAGTAATAATATTTAATAATAAATTATGTAAAATATACAGTGTGTTTCAAAACAAATGCGAAAAACTTTAGGGGGTGATTCCTTGTTCAAAATAAAGGGTAATTTGCTTTATAAACGTTGGGTCAAAAGTCAACCATTAGGGAGATATCGCGGTATAAAGATGGCGGAAAAATAATGTTTTTATTTTTTATCTTGAAAACGAAAAGAGATAGACTAATGAAATTTTATGGAAGCATTACTGTTATGAAAACACACTTTCTGGTAATTTTTTCACTTTTTTAAAATGAGTGGAAGGGGTTGAAATAAACTACCCATCCATTCTTGTTAACAAAATTTAAAGAAAACTCTTATCAAACACATGCAAAAAAAAATAATTTGGATAGTTTAGATTGTTTAGAAACTTTTTTATCTCTTGTGTTTTTTGATAAAACTCACCGATTTGAAATTAAAAAATAAAATGTAAAGCATTACATGTCAGGACAAAAAAATTTTTAGATTAAGAATCTAGTGATAATAACGATAATAATAATCATCTAGATAATAACGTATTGCAGTAGAGTAATGTCAAATAAAATAATATTAGGAACATCCTAAAAGTAACAGCGGCCGACTAGATTTTTTCCTAAAAAATTACAGCAGCCCACTAGATTCTTTATCAGAAAATGTTTTTTATCCTGGCATGTAATGCTTTACATTTTATTTTTAATTTCAAATTGGTGAGTTTTATCAAAAAAAAATACAAGAGATAAAAAGTTTCTAAACAAACTAAACTATCCAAATTAATTTTTTTGCATGTGTTTGATAAGATTTTTCTTTAAATTTCGTTAACAAGAATGATAGGGGTAGTTTATTTCAACCCCTTCCACTCCTTTTAAAAAGTGAAAAAATTACCAGAAAGTGTGTTTTTCATAACAGTAATGCTTCCATAAAATTTCATTAGTCTATCTCTTTTCGTTTTCAAGATAAAAAATAAGAACATTATTTTTCCGCCATCTTTGTACCGCGATATCTCCCTAATGGTTGACTTTTGACTCAACGTTTATGAAGCAAACTACCCTTTATTTTGAACAAGGAATCACCCCCTTAAGTTTTTCGCATTTGTTTTGAAACACTCTGTATAATTTATTAATTTTATTTTTATTTTAATTTTATTAATTATTGTGGTTAATAAAATTGAGTTTATCTCATCAAGGTGGCCGAATTCAACAAAATCTCAAGAGATAACTTTTAATTGACATTAAACGGCCTACACAATTTTGATATCAAAAGATAAAAAGTCAGTGGCGGACATGTTTTTTTTTTGAAAAATATTTCTTTTATAACCCATAAGGACGTCCCTGATAAATTTATGGGCACTTTTTTACAGGGGCGGATACAGAAATTTATTTTACGGGGGCCCACATAAAAAATAATGCCAAATATGCCTTTTAGGGCGCCACTTTTAACCCAAAAGCCTAATATTTAACCCAATTTACAGATTTTAGGGGGGGGCCGGGCCCCATGGGCCCCCCCTCTGTATCCGCCACTGCTTTTTTAGCATATTAAAAGTACTTGGAAGAAAATTATAGTAAATCGAAGACTTTAACACCCTGTAGCTACAAAACAAAGCAGAATCGGACCTATGTTGATATGAAAAATAAATCTAATTTTTACGTGAGATGCACATGTTTTTTGAAACACCCTGTATAATATTTTTGGTAAAAATTAATCCAATTACGCCAGTGCCATGAAATGTTGAAAAACAAATGAAATAACTATATTTTCCAAGTGGTAACCAACTCAAGGCGGAACTCAAGAACTTGGAAGATTCCATCCGCAACCTGGAATGGAAATCTTGCAATGGTCTAAGACACTCGAAGAAGTGTCTGAGGGCTTATGATCAAGAAAAATCACAGATCTTCCTGGGTCTGAGTAAGAACAATCTTCGGATTGTCACGGGGTTTTTAACAAGACACTGTCTCCTCAATGAACACCTCAGTAGATTGAAACTAAGAAGAAACGGCGAATGCAGATTCTGTGGGGAAGATGGTGAAACACCAGTACACCTCATCACTGAGTGCGCCGAGACGACAACCATTCGTGCCATGAATTTTGGTACGACTGATATTGGAGATGGAGAACTACCCTCTATAAAACCGTCCCAGATACTGGCTTTTGTCAAAGCCCTGGGACTGTATAATGAGTTATGATTCAAGAAAGGGGGACACAATGGATCTGTAAGGTCGAAGTGATTAACCCCCCTCCCACTCATTCTAAATTCTAAAAAAAAAACTATATATTTATTTTTCTGGTCCCTTAAGTAATTGTCGATTACGATTCTTGTTTTTATGAAACGTGAATTGTGCATGTGGTTCATTCAAATGAACGAATCGTAGGAGTCGATTCAATATGAGAAATTGAATCGCGTGATTCGATTCACCACAAAGAATAGTAATGCCCATCACTAGAAGTAACTGTTCCCGAAACATGTTCCATTCACCAAAAATTATTTTTCGAAATAAATAATTTGAATAAGATTGTGAGGTTTGAGCCCTTCCCCTCACTAAAGGTTTTGCATTTATTAAATAAGAAGTTTGTGCATTTCGTCGGTGAAATGTGATAAACTGCTAACTCCATTATTCTTAATTTTACAGGAGAGCAAACAAACGGTACAAAAAATATGTACACATGTAGAAAGTATTTTCATGCGTTAATATGATAAAGAGATAAGAATTTTATTTGCTGGGAAACAATAAAACTCAATATTTCGTGTTACATCATTTTTTTCAGACACAATAGGGAGATAGCAGATATTCGTCTTGTAGAAATAAGAAATAAAAATATACTTCTGGAGATAGCAACCTTTATTGTTTGAAATTTTGAAAATTAAATTGAATATTACCCAAACAGATTTGGAAATAATCAATTAAATTTAAAAAGAACTGAAGTAGCAGCATTTTGGACTTATTAATGAATATGAAAATAATTTAAAAATTAAATTTATAATTCTTAGAAGATATGGTAGAATCCTTCCATGCTTATCCTAATTTTTAAAAAACGGTAGACCGAGCTTGGAAAACAGTGCGTGATTTTATTAATTTTTTATTACTTTTCTCCTTATTTTTTTAATTTTTATAAAAATTGTGTATCATTTACGTGGAGAAACGTTGAAAAAAATAAAACTTATTAGGTATTATGGAAATTTTTGTACAAGTAAGTAATGTTATTTAAACTATTTAAAGCACGCCGATGAATTGCTCGTATATAGAGAATTTCGTTTTTCCCCTTACCCTTTACGGATACCCCGTATTTACATAACGGATCGACGCAGGGTCGGACTGGCCATATTATACTATTAGAGGTGCCACACAGCCTTTGCGGGCACCCTTCATATTTCATTATTTATTCTTAACAATATTTGCTTTTGCATTGCATTGGTTTACCTTGCATTAGAGTAGTTCCCTGATTTCTATACAGGGTGAGTCTTAATAAATAAGTGCAAATATTTTCTGGGCTGCTAAATCTCGATAAAAAAAACATAATATTTTCTCTTTATCGTTTTTCCAAATAAATCCAAAACAACCAAAGTTATTTCACTTTTAAAATTTTCAATTTTTTGCTATAATTTTGAGAATCATTGGATTTTCTTTCTTGTAAATTTAATCTACTACCTATGTTGCCATATTACAAACAAAGTATGTTTTTAAACTAAAAATTAAAAAAAAATTCTAAATTTTCAAAAAAAAATCACGCAAAAAACCTCATAATCGTGTTTCTTGGGTCGAAATATACTACTCCTAAAAATATTTGCACTTATTTAAGACTCTGTATATAATAGGCAAATTTTCTCTAATGGGAAAAAATGTACAGTGGTGGCCAAAAGTATGGAAACTTTTTACTTTTTAAAATATCACAGAAAATATTGCTATGCTTAAACTCTCAGGAATATAAATGAACAGCTTATCAGCAAATAAAAGTATTCCAAAAATTACACAGCGAAAAAAATCTGTTTAGCATTTTTGTAGGAGAACAATAGATTTCTTGTGGCCAAAAGTATGGAAACCATAAATAAATACATTAAAATTATTTAGTTTAAGCTGATAAACGGTACGATTTGCTTCAGATAAATATAAACATCATGCCCAAGTCTAAATATTTCTCTGCGGATTTAAAAAATAAAATAGTTGAATTATACAAGAGCGGTTATAAACAAATTCAAATAAGTAAAAATTTAAACATTTTAAAAGGCACCGTTTCGAAAACAATTCGTAAATTTAATAAAACAGGGAACGTTTCAACAGCTTTTAAGTCAGGAAGACCAAGAAAGTTGTGCAACAGGACAATGAAAGTAATGAAGAGAATATCAATGGGAGATCCAAGAAAAACATCCACAGACATTTCTGGAGAAATGGGTGAAAGAGGAATATCGGTGTCTGCACGCACGGTGAGAAGAAGGTTGGATGACATGGGACTTTTTGGAAGAGTTGCGGTGAAGAAACCACTAATGTCAAAGAAAAATAGGATGGCCCGCTTTAAATTTGCTCAAGATCATCTCACCTGGTCTTATCAGAAATGGAATACTGTACTGTTTAGCGACGAAAGCAAGTTTCAACTGTTTGGTAGTGACGGGAGACGTTATGTCCGAAGACCAAAAGGTACACGGTACAGCCATAAATTCCAGATGCCCACAGTAAAACATGGGGGTGGGAGTATAATGGTATGGGGGTGTTTTTCTCGCTCAGGTGTTGGTCCTCTTGTTAAAATTGATGGGATAATGGACCGTTTTTTGTACAAAGACATATTGGAGAATAATATGCTGCCTCATGCTGATGAAAAAATGCCACTCAGATGGTTGATCCAGCAAGATAATGATCCCAAGCCCAAATCTCGGTTTGTTCAAAATTGGTTAAATGAACATAATGTTCCACTAATGGATTGGCCCTCACAGTCTCCGGATCTTAACCCCATAGAAAATTTATGGGACCATTTGGATAGCAAAATTCGAAGCCATTCTATTTCAAATAAAAATTAATTATCGGAAGTGCTAAAAACTGAATGGGCGGCCATTTCCAGTAAAGATTGTACGAGATTGATCGATTCGATGCCACGAAGATGTTGAGAAGTAATTAATTCAAAGGGATATTCCACTAAATATTAGTAATTTTTATATTATCTTGAATTTTAATAAACATTCTTCTTAAGTTTCCATACTTTTGACCAAGAAAATATTCATAATTTTTTATATATTTTTTGATAGCTGTAATTTTTTATTTAAATGTATTAGATTTTGTAGGAAATTATTTGTAGGTCACGATTATATAAGTCGTTTTATTTCATATTTTAATTTCTCAGCATAAATGACAAATTAAAAGTTTCCATACTTTTGGCCACCACTGTATTTGCTTTTCCTACTTATAGAGTATTTTTTTCTCTTTCTAATGGTATAAAAAACTTATTCACGTAAAAAATGCAGTTATCAGGTTATCACGTTTCACTGACGATTTATTAGTTAACAATCTGAAAAAAATATATAAAAGGTAATAATAATAATTGTAATACTTACAGTTCACCAATTTTGAAACTAATACGATCCATAGAAATGCTGGGGAATGGGATGATAAACAACTGGCATATAAGTTGGAGGACAATTTGGGAAAGCTGGTGCAGTGTTCACACAGTGACACATTATTGGACTATTATGGTGCATCACTGGCATAGCTGCAGATGCAAGGTTATTTCCTCTTCTTAATCTGCCAGTGTTCCCTCCCAACACCATACAATTTCCTTCTGGGCTCAATTTCCAGTAGTTACCCTTACCAGGCTCGTAAGCTGGACGATGTTCTTGACAAAAATAGTTTGACGTGCTCAAACAATGGCGAATACTGTTCTTCCAGTTGGAATGATTTTGTTCATGGGATGGATGGTTTTTGGAAATATAATTGTATATTTCGTTCAACAATAATTTCCCATGAACACTATTTTTTAGCGCCATGTAAATCAGCGCGTTACAAGAGTACTGCATTTCTTCATGATGCGTTTGTTCTTCGGTCTCAATATCTTGTGGGGCCTGTGTTTCTGCCTCATCTAGGGACAGAATATCCTTAATAAGAAAGGACCTTCTTAAACTCATTTCGATAAAAAGACGAGGACTACTTTACGCGCACTATTACTTGTTGAACTCGTACTGCTTTGGCTTAGTGAGAAAGGCACCCTTAAATACTTTGGGTGTAATTTGAGTACCTAGGCCCACCTCGTCTCTCATTGGATGGTCGGTGATGTTTAGCGCATCCCCCAAAAAGGGATGGTCTAGACAACGCCCACCGGACTATGGTCAATGGACAATACTTAAAATTTTAGTATATTGCTTAATAATTTCGGTATATCAATATTATGAAGATCGTCAGCCTCCAAGAAAACAAGTTAACCGATCATACAGGGTTGTTCACCACATACGACACGGAGTATTGTAGCTAAACGATGAGATTTTTACAAATTGTAAGTTTTGGGTTCGATAAAGGACTATTAGAGGTACAATTTAAAAATAATTTTACAAGATAGAGACTGTCCCAAATAAAAAATATCAAAGTTCCAGTAAAAAATATCAAAGTTGTATTTTTTTAAATGGAACACCCTGTATATTATTACATTTTTAGTTTCTACGATTAAAATAAAGGTAAATTTGATTAAGATTTATTATACTTAAACCTTACCGTTTTGAAATATTTTCAATTTTGTGAAATTGCAGTAAAATTTTAAGGCTTCATTTCTCCAAGGGTATCAAAGTTTTTAATACTAAATATTTACTGAAGTTTATTTACTGATCAGTTATTGTGTTGCAGTAATAAAAATAATACTACCTTATACAGAGTGTCTAAAAATTTATTTTAAATAATTATTAGCTTCAAACGGCAATAACTAGTTTAATTTAAATGGAACACCCTGTATATTTTACGAGAATCAGATGCACAATTTAATTGTCTATCAAATTATATTATACCATTTTTTACCTATCTCTTTAAATTTCCGTAGAAAATGCATTTTCTTGTAATTTAGAACTTACTTTATTAATATACCCATGGACTATTGACATTTTAGATTATTTTTAAAGATGTACCAAATTTTTAAAGAGTACAGATACTAATATTGTCGATATAATTCGTATATTATTTCATTAAAAAATAAAAAAAAACTGTTTAAATATTTGTTAAAGAGGACCAATTAATATGATTCCAGTATTCAACCTACATTAACTGACTGTTTGCGTTGATTAATAATAATTGCTCCAAATACTAAAAAACTGAATTTTGTATGGGCATTAGACAGTGTGATAAAAAGTAACACCTTAAAAATGATATTTCATTTTTTAATAAATGCTTATTTATAACAACAGAGACTTTAATTTGATAACTTATTATTATATTGATTTCTGACTCAAATCCACATTCATTTATAATAATTTATTAACGAACACAATTAAGTATGTAATTAATTAGTATATGGGCGGAAATAATGGTGTTATATTTAATTAATGGTATACTCTTTTATAAAGATTTAAATAGTTTTCTTTTTGCATATAAATGGGCTAGTAATATTATCGTTTTGCTAAAAACGATAATATTACTAGTCTGTACATTTTGTACATTTGTTGCTTTAAAAACAATCTAAAATGTCAATATTCCATGGATATATTGATAAATGAGGTCTAAATTATAAGAAAATGCATTTTCTACGAAAACTTGAAGGTATAGGTAAGAAATGATATAATACAATTTGATAGACAATTAAATTGTGCATTTGATTCTCATAAAATATACAGGGTGTTCTAGTTAAAGTAAATAAATTATTGCCGTTTAAAGCTAGTAATTATTTAAAATAAATTTTTAGACACTCTGTATAAGGTAGTATAATTTTTATTATTGCAACACAATAACTGATCAATAAATAAACTTCAGTAAATATTTAGTATTAAAAACTTTGATATCCTCGGAGAAATGAAGCCTTAAAATTTATACTGCAATTTCGTAAAATTGAAAATATTTCAAAAACGGTAAGGTTTAAGTATAATAAACCTTAATCAAATTTACCTTTATTTTAATCGCAGAAACTAAAAATGTAATAATATACAGGGTGTTCCATTTAAAAAAATACAACTATGATATTTTTTATTTATTTGGGACACTCTGTATCTTGTAAAAATATTTTTAAATTGTAGCTCTAATAGTCCTTCAACGAACCCAAAACTTACAATTTGTAAAAATCTAATCGTTTAGCTACAATACTCCGTGTCGTATGTGGTGAACAACCCTGTATACAGGGTGGCGCACCTAGTTCGCCTCGGTTGATTATACGAAAAGATGTAGAAACAAAATATTTTATGAGTATATGTGGGGAGGCAATGTGCAGAGACAATTTAAAATTATTTTGAAACATACAGGGTGTCTCAGAACTAAGATCCATACCAAAGTTATATTTTTTCTTATGGAACACCCGGTATTTTATTTTATTTTTGGATTATTGGGCCCAAAAAAAGGCATTCATTATAAGAGATAAATATGTTTAAAATCTTTGGTTTTTGAGATATTTAAAGATATTTAAATGTGCACGCTACAAAAGAATTGATTATTCACACCCTGTACATTAATTTTCAGAATTAATTATTGTGCTGAGTTTAAAGGTAAAGAAATAAACTTTACTGAAAAATGTCATTGCTTCCTTAAATTTATACAGGGGTACCAAAAATTGGTGATCTATTTTAAGGATTTATTTTACATAAAAACTTTGTTATTTCAAATACCACACCCTGTATTTTTTTAAATAAATCGAAGCAGATTCAAATGCTCTTTCAAACTATATTAGGGTTTCCTATACCTATCTATCTCAGATTTTGAATAAAAGGCGATTTTTAAATAAAATGGCAATCAAGATGGCTGGTATCGCCATGGCAATTTTCTAATGACAGTTAGTAACTATTTTCAAAAGCGAAATTAGTTTACAGACTTTATTTAAATTTATACCAGTTTACTGTTATTTAATTTACCTACATTAGTTTAATAAATAATATTTATTAATATGTATTTATTATTCAAGAACTTAAACGTACAAGTCACAGTACAGCTATCTAGCAACTGCCGCACCTGATCGTTCAACTTTGTGGCAAGTGAAAAAATGCAGAAACATCTAGAAATAATAAGAAAAAACAGCAAATTGGTCGAAGGAATTTATCCTTATCATTTACTCTGATAAATGTTTAAATAAACTTTTCAAATTTCAATCCTTCATATTTTCTCAACGACTCGACCGAGTTATATGGGGGGCGGGAAAATATAGAGAATAAAAAGCCCTTTTCATTGCGGTACCACTTCACCCCCCTTCCCATTTGAAAAAAGCTGGGGGATGACACCCCCGCTTAGAGGGTTGAAGATTTTGCAATCATTTTTGGGGCAAAAGTTGTTCCCCTCACAAACAAAACTGACGTGTTTTTGGATTTTTTGAAAAAAAAAATCCTGGCCGTTATGCCTTGCGGAACGTTTTCGATGGGCCACCATGTATGGCAAAATAAAAACACTAAATCACCACAATACACCAAAACACTTTTACTTTTACACTGGACGCGCGTTTCGCTAACCATGTTAGCATCATCAGCAGATGATTATAAACTAAGTTTATAATAATATAATTATAAACTTAGTTTATAATCATCTGCTGATGCATATTATTATAAACTAAGTTTATAATAATCTGCTGATGATGCTAACATGGTTAGCGAAACGCGCGTCCAGTGTAAAAGTAAAAGTGTTTTGGTGTATTGTGGTGATTTAGTGTTTTTATTTTGCTGTTTAACACCAAAGGTTCCAACCCTCAACTGTAATCCACCATGTATGTTTAAAGAGCTACAAATAAGATTGAATGAAAATAACTTTATGCTTTAGGGAGGGTGGTAACCCTTCGAACATATAGAGCATTAGAAACTAGTTTGTAAAAGTTGATTTTGTTATAATTAAAACGATTAATATTATGCATATTATTAGATTAGATAAGACATTGAGATTTCAAATTCACAATAAAAAGAATTAAAAAGAATAAAAATCCTATATGTGTATTTCTCCAATGCAAGAAAATCTACAAAATGAAATAGTTATTTTTTTGTAAACACTTCTGAAAAAAAAATAAAAAAAAAGATCACAAAACAAATAAAAAAAAAGATAAACGCGAGATGGCCCCCCCATGGGCGCTCCCTAGATACAAAATTATACTTTATTACCGAGGTTTTGGGTTTTTCCTGTCGTTAGTGTTAAATCTCTTTATTTTTTTACTACCGTTTCTTTATTGAAATTTCTTAGAGGTTCAAAGTACTAAGTAGGTAGTGATTTATAGTTGTAAAACTGTGTCTGTAGTCTGTAGTTTAATCGTCCAACAATAGAAAATTGGCGTCAAAATCACTTAAATAATTAAGATGGTAAAATGAGGTAGTATTAGAAATTCCAGGGGTTGAAAGTCTGCAGAATATCATTAACACATTGAGCATTTTTTCATTCAGAAGACTTTATTTATGCATTAGGTATTTTACCTGTGATATATTGCAGTTATACAATATACAGGGTGACGCACCTCATTCGCCTCGGTTGATTATACGAAAACGGAAAGATATAGAAATAAAATATTTTATAGATATACAGGGTGAGTTTCCTACGATGTTCCCTATGGGTATCTCGGAAACTACTGGAGATAGAGAGTCGGTTAAATGAGGAAAGAATTGCAGTTTTGTGGAATTATAAATATGCGCCTTTCAGATATTTGAAAAAGTTAAGTATTTTTTAAGTTTTAGTTTGTGAAATGTAAATTGTAAAGAGCCTTTTAATAATATATTTTGTCTTTTTATAAGTTATAAATCATAACAAAATAAGAACACCAAGCCAACTAAGTGAAATTAGTCAAGAAAGATAAGAATTGGCTATAATTCAGTAATTTTGTGAAAAAAAAAACATATTATAGCTTATATCGTTGAAAAGCTTAAAAAATGGCGCTTTTTATGAAGTCATGGCCAACTACGGTTTCCATTTAAAAAAACATATGTTTGTGT